ATCTGTAAACCCGTCAGCGAGGTTTCCTCAGTCATTCCCTTTTTATTTACTGGCTGGAAAGCACTGGGCAGGTTTTCAGCCCAATATTCCTCTTCCAGCTCCTGGGCTTTGAGGAGGCCAAGATGCACCACGGCTGGCATCCAGACCCATGCAGACAGACAAACGTTTCAGAGAAGTCTACTGACGCTGGCACTAAAGCTGAACTGCAGCCATGGGGGTAAAGAAAAGCAGTTGCTTTACAATTCCCTGTTGGTAGCCCTGTCTTTTTGTAGCCATCGTCCCTTCTGCCACGTGAGGTTTATTGCAGATAATGACTGGAATGGCTGTCCCAGATATTTACCATTTTCCCAGCTCTGCTATGAGCATCTTAAGAGAGTATAGGCCACCAGAGAGTCTTCTACATTCAAATGGCCCTCTCTGACCTACTTATATCATCTCCAATTCATGCCAGCTAAGCTCCAGAGCTGCCACTTTAAAAAAGAAAACCAAATTCCACTTTATTTCCCCTTGAGGCCCGCAAAATATACTCTTAAACAAACAAAATGCAGTTGAATATTGCCAGACGAGAAGAAAAAAGGGAAAGAAGCTGACAAAGCTGATGGAGGAAAGGCTCAAAGAGCTCACGTACCTGCAGTGCACGACAATGGGTCCTGCTTCTGGGGGATTGAGAAACTTCACCTGACGGACGAAGCCCAGGAGGCCCGTGGCGTAGCAAGGAACCCCGTGGTCCGGCCAGCTGGTGAAGTGGAACTGCCGAATCTCTCGGATCTCATGGTAACCTTTCTGAGGAGACAACACAGCCTCTATTTTTCATCCACCAGACTGCAGTTGACATATTCTGGTCACCACTCCCTTCCCTCACGCAGAGGGCTGAACAAGCATTACGCTCTTGTCATATGCCGGAACATGTCCTGTGCTGCTTTTCCCTCCAAGAGATCTCAGGCTGAACTCCCAGTATCAATGAAGCACGTAACATAAAACATAACATACAATTTTCTCCCTCTCTGGAGATATTGAATACCCGCCTGGACGCGGTTCTGTGCAGCCTGCTCTGGGTGACCCTGCTTTGGCAGGGGGGTTGGACTGGGTTATCCACAGAGGTCCCTTCCAACCCCTGCCATTCTGTGATTCTGTGAACTGAGGACTACGAAGGTGAATGCCAGATCCCAATTCAAACTGTGGTCTTAAAGCTCAGACCCAGCTGATCAGGAACTTTACAGGGCAATTTCAGTCCCGGCACACCATGACTGCATTTATCCAGCCTCCTGTGGTGTTCTTGCCATAAACCCCAAGCAGTCACTCTCAAATCCTTCTCGAAGCATTGGAGCAACAGCCTGGGGAACAAACACCTGGAGAAGGGGCATGCGTTGAGCAACAGCAGGTTTTCTGCCACCTCCTGCCAAAAAAATCTCAGTTTGAGATTACAGCTGGTGGTGCAAAGGGCAGAGACCGGTACCCAGACCCATCGCTTGGCTCTTCTGGTGAGACCAAATTATTGCTATATAAAAACTGACACCACCTGTATACGCCCTGCAAAGGGTAACGCATCAGCATCAGTCCGCTGTGACATTTTATTGTACAGGAAATGTAGGTGGAATCCAGCAGCAGGTCCTCTAACCTCTCAGATTTTGGCATCAGCATTTCTTACCAAGTTTTTCAGTGATTTAATGAAATATGGAGCTGATGTATTAGAAAACCAGAACAACATTCCCCGTGTGGCAGAAGCTCATTTACCAGGAATTTCTGAAAAGCTTTAAAACCACTTACTGAGTGTTTGGAGAGTAATTTGGACAGATCTGGAATACTCTGTCGCTTAGACTTCCAATTTCTAATTACATATAACAAAAAACTTCCAAATCCTGCTGATCTGGGGATAATTTTTATACTGTTGCCTTTATTATATTTTTATTTCTGTTGAAAGGAGACCCTACCTGGCATCCAGTTTAAATGATACCTTTTTTGATCTGTAATTTGCCTCTAAAACATGATCATTATTATTCCTGGCATACTATCAACTATCTGCTGGCTTTCGGACTTGTTTAAACTCCATGCACTGTCGATTCTACTTTTGTGGCTACATCAAGATGTTCATGGAAAATCATTTGTCCAAAATTGGAATCTCTTGCAAACTTTCAGGTTTCTGAAGTGAAACCTGTCCAAATAGTAACAGCTCCCCTCTCCAAGAGCATTCTGGATACGTTTCCCAGAGTTCGTATTTCTGAACGCAAATTAAATGTTGTATCAAAATGTCAGCTGATTGAAGATTTCCTTACCTTTTGTACAGTAAATGTGCGTATGACATACTCTGCCAATGGTTCTGTCTCAATTAATGTGACTTTAATATCTCCATAGACCTCTGTGTCATCCGGCCAGTATCGAACACATTTTACCTGGGGGGAAAAACGAAAATATTGAGAGAAACTAGCTCAAGATGAGTCAGAGCTGACCTACATTTTACTCCACTTTCAAGCTGAAGCCAAGGCAAATTGGACTTCCTTCTGATGTACAGATCTTGTCAAAATTAACTGTATAAAGTAGATCAAAATTCCTTTACCAGATATAGAAACCACAGGGAGGATTTCTTCAGTTTTCTCTGTTGTGAATACAAATGAACAGGATGCATTTAGCTTTTCTTCTTTAAGATAGTCTTTCCTTAAATTTCCATACATGCCCTGACCACATACCAGGTTTAGAGAACACCTGGCAGTCACTACTACCACCTCCTTTGAGAAAAATCTGTGCTCTTGCCATTGTTCCTGTCGTTCTGAAGTCTCTCTGCTCAGCCATAGAATTTCAGTTCATAGGGATCATGAGATACTTGTTGATACGTTCAATTTGTGTGACTCTAAGCTTTCCTTATCAGATGTGGACACAAATTTGACATTTCACTAGCTGTGACAGGCCTCAGCTAAGGCTCAAGAAAGAAATCTCCTGATCGCATAAACACATCCCAAGCTTAGCCACTTCTAGAAGCCACGTGCAAAGCTAATAGTAGAAATTAAAGCCAAGGCTGTAAGCTCTAGAAGGGATATTTAGGATCACAAAGACTATCAAGTTATTGAATGCTTTAGCGTGAAAAAGTGGAACAGCACCTAAAAGCTGAAGCAATTAGCTACCATGAAGCAGGCTTCATGTTCCAGTTCCAGTCATAATCGGAAGGGGGTTTATAAATATTAAAAATTATTAATGGAGGTTTTTTGGGCTTTTTTTTTTTTTTTTTTTTACACACTGGCATTTATTTCAAACTGAAGTGTCAGTAGAAGGTAAAATAGAATAAATAACAATAAATGAACAGAATCAGGTGGCATTCAACCATGAGATCTAAAGGAAATCAAATACAAAGCAGCTAAATTAGTAATGGCTGTGAGTAAACTATCATTTAAATTTTTCTTAGTACCAAAGCAATGGAACGTAACAAACACCCGGACAAAACTGTTAAGAGCTCCAGTTTCTGGCTGAGAATGTCTCTAAACCAAAGACCACCAGGAGTGGGAAGATCACGCTGGGGAAAGCCACCCCAGACATGCCTTTTTCTTATTCCCTAAAGTCTAGTCTATGCCTTTTGAGTTCTTCACATTTGCTCCCATCGTGGACTTCGGCAATGGCTTTGTGCTGACACAGGGACTTCTGGTTCATCTCAGTCCAAGCAAGTGAAGCGGGGGGTGTTGAGGAGGCTGATGCAGCTGCGTAGCCCCAGGACCCCGCTGTGCACAATCTCATACAACCACACAGTAGTGGTCTTCTGAAGCGACTGGAAACTCTTGGCTTTCAATTGTCATTTAAAGAGCTATTTTGATAGTCTGAACACCAGTCGCATGTTCTCGCCCCTCCAGATTTTTGTGGGTAAAGAAGTATTCAAATTATACAGATAAAGAATAATTATTACAGAAGTACATTCTTCCTTATGTACTGAAAAAGGAGACAGCTTCTCAGTTAGCATAAATTTGTATAATCCTGCTAAAGCCGAGACTTACACCACGAACAGGATCCTTATTAGATCTGGAAGCGAAGCAGCTAAGTATTACAAAATCTAGCATTTTAGGAAAAAAAAAAAACCAAAAAACAAAACAGACTGGCTTAATTCATTCTCTTACTACAGTGAGCAAAAGGTATTTCTCTTGCTAAGCTTGCCTGAACAGCATCACCCGGTTACACCAGTGCTGGTTTGGCTTTATATATTAGGAAAGTGGTGCCCTTACCCTGCCCACTTCCACTAAGTTGGTGACCATGACAACACTTGCAGAGTTTTCTTGCCAAATCATTCTCCAGAAATCCTTCACTGTCTCTTGCATCGGCCCTGGGGCAGGAGAAAAGACAAAAAGACATTTTAAGAGAGCGTATCGAATGCCAACAACTCTTTCCAGCTGTTCCCCAGCCATTGCCCTGTTCCCACAGGATCCTAATCTCCCTTTCAGAGCATCCCACTGTGATTCAGGGTTACAGATACAGAACAGACTCGAGCTCTTTCAGAGATCAGATGCTTCCTCACAGCGGGTATTTAAGGTTCTAGCATGCTGGAAACAGAGGTGATGGTTGTGTTGTAAATCGTGGAGATGGCTCCAGTAGGTAATCATGTATAAGTGACGGGATATGGATGCACCCCACAGTGAGTCTGTAATTAAAGCTGCATTGAAATTTGTACCTGATGCAGCACTAAAATTCCTCCATTTCACACTTGCATATTTATTAATTATGAAGGAGGAAGGAAACATGCAGAAATCAGCCCTTTGCTGAAATTCCCCCAGAGCAAAAAATTTCGGGTTCCAACAGCCAAACATCCAGCAGTCACAAGAGGTTTTTCACTCAAGCCTTTCCCTGACCTTTTTTCCTTCCCCTCTTCTACACTGTAGGCAAAATCCTTTCACAGACTCCTTTCACCCACTCTGCCCATACTCCATCCTCCATGTTTGTTCTCTGCCTTGTTGCATTCCCTATACCTGTACATCCTCAAATGCCAGTTTTATTCCAATATGTTTTTTCACTCTTTCAATAGGGACAAGTCATGAAGGTAGTCATAAAGCAGAATTTAAGAACAGAATCATTTCTATGAATGCCACATTTGCACAAATTTGGACAAACAATGGTAGGGGAAGTGGTCACAGTATAAGAGTTTGGCCAGTGATGCAGGAAAACAGCACTCCGTGTTAAAGAACAGGAGCAGGGAGGTTTGTCATCTAACGCGGATAGCCCTCAGCACTGAACTGTGCTGGTTTTTCTCTCCCCCCCACCCCATAGGAAACTCATCAACTAACTACAGAAGGTGATGTTGAAATGCGTTTCCTACTAGTTTCCACTAACCAAAAGTTCATCAGTCACAGGCTTATTCATATTGTCCTCCCCAAGCAATTTCACTCCAGAAGGCAAACTCGAGATCCGTAAAGTCCCTTTTAGTTCTAATCTCATACTTCATGCACAACAGACACGTTATAGATCATCTTGCCACCTCTAAGTCTGTAGCATTTTTTATTCCTGTAGCTAAGGTTTTGCATTTGAGTGCCTTAAAGATCTTGGAACATTCTATATCCTTCCCTTTTGTGCCCCTATATCAAGTTTTCAGGTGTTCCCCAAAACAGAAGATGTCACCCTATAAATGGCTCTTACAACAGTTTAAAACAGCAGTGGTTTGGCAAATATTTAGATACACAAGAATCAACTTGCCTTGAGTTGCAATGTAATGGCGAGGCCGGTGGTACCCCTGGAAAAAAAGAAAATACGTGATGGTCCGCGAGATCGCAGCTCAGACAAAGCGCCAGAGCGTGTACTGCACACCTTCCAGGTACCAACGGCTGCACTCCTAACAGCGTACTAACACTGTCATCAAATGAATGAAGATAGGCAACCAGGTTGCCCTGTGAGACTTTAAGTGATGGTATCTTACCCAGGCTGAATAATAAGATCGCATTATGCCAAAGAGAAAACAGGAATGGGGCAGTTTTCACTATTTCCTCGAAGGAACACGAGTCCTGCAACTAACTGGTGGGCAACTTTGAAAACTAATTGGCAAAAAGCTGCACCTTCTTGTTTGAAAAAGAAGAAAGGTGTGCATTTGTCTCTGTATGAAAATGTTGCATATCAGTCCTGTGTAACTTTATTAGGTGTATTTTTCTTTCGCTTAAAGAAACTCCTCTGAACACTGCCATGTTCCTGAGGTTTCGGAGACGCATACGAGAAATGCACTTTCATTTTATCATTCTGTGCATGCGAGGGAGGCTGCTTTTTGAATGTAATTTTATAAAGCTAAAAAAAATATGTCAATCTATTTACACGCCTTCTGCACCGCAACTTTGTAAGAAGTCAATAAGTTTCAGATATCTACTAATGCTGTTGCGAGGGACTGATATTGATTTCTGCATACGTCACTCGGCCCACATTCCACTTCTGTCTGCAAATCTGTCAATCGTAGGAAATCTCCATCTGTCCAGACTGGTCAGACGGAATAAACCGGAGACTGAGAACCTTCTCCCTGTCACAACACAATGTTTGTATAACGTTCAGCTGTCATTCAGATCGGATCAACAGTCTGTCCCTATGTAAGATGCACTGAATCCACAAGCAGCCTTGTCAGCAGGCGCGTTTGGCATAGTGGGAATGTCCAGGAGCCTTACGTCGATGTAATTGGCGTTTATGTAGTCAGAGTGAGGGTCCCCATCCAGAAGCTGCAATCTCACTCTTGAATGATCATCTGAAAGAAGGACAGAAAAAATAGTGACAGTAACGATAAAGAGGACTTTGTAAGTGCTTCATTTTATCTGCCGATTCCTGCAAGTAGGTAACTGCATACTTACAATAATAAAAAAAATGAAATACTATCAGAGACATTCCTGTTCCTACAAGCCCTTTCTTCTGTGTTTATGATGTAAGGTTTAGATCCTTAGGCTACCGTTCACGCATACTCTGTGTTCATTAAACTCAGTGCTGTCACCAGAATCGTCCTAGAGCTTTCACACAGACCACAATCGTTCTTGGATTGGGCGTCTCGGGACAGATCTTTGCAGGATGTGTCTCCACCACAAGAGTCATCTTCATGCTTGGAAGTAACAGCCTCCCTGGCTTCATCTGATCTACGGAAACTGAGGCAAGAGCTAAAACTGTCAAGATCAGGATAAAAATAAACAGGTCGTGACAGAGGTACAAAAGATTCAGGAGGGTAAAATGGCAAATGAAATCCTGCGAATAAGAAATGGGACAACCCAGAAACCTGAAAGGAAATAGCAAAGGAAATCAGAGCAATGTTGGTGTATGCAACTCAGAACTCACAGCAACAAAACGGCATCAAGGCAGTGTTTAAAAAAAAAAAAAAAATTAGAAGTGTTCACAGTTTTGAGGACAAAGTTACTTTAGATAAGGTGATAACAGATATCAATCTTTGCATCTCCCAGCACGCTCTACAGCTCAGCTGCAGAAAGGAACTACCCCAGCGGGCAGATAACGGCAGGGTTTCCCACCCAGGGAATGTTCTGATCTTTTGCTGGGCTCTGTCCCAGGAGACACCCCGCGAGCTGGGCGCGGAGCTGGTCTGCTCTGGCAGTCCCAGGGCGGGGACACAATTCACTGCAGAACTGCTGCCTAAGGGCCAGGCGCTTGGCAAAGGCTACTGGGTTACAGAGGTCACTGCTGGGCATGCTGGGCTCCTTCTTAAAGGACATTTTAAAGAAGCATAACAAACACAGAGTACATTAAGTTTATTTCCTCTCTACCAGCTGTGTACACCCTAACTCTCAGTCAGTAAGACATTAATGTCTAGAAGCACTTTGTCAAATACAGGCCTAAGCATTATTTACATTTAATTAAAAAGAATCATAGCAATGAAACATAAAAATATGAGTTGCGACTCCGCAGTAACTCAGTCAAAAAGATTTTTAGTCATCACTTAATTAAATGCAGAATCAGATAATAATTGTGAAGACAGATGTGCACGCAGTTCTGAAAACCAAGATTTGGACATATATTAAACATTGATTTGGTTAGGTAAAGGAATGATTCTCATACTCTGTTCATTCCTTGGGTTAGATTTTCACATCCAGAAAGTACAACCACATTGCTGTATTTATCAAATCCCATATTTGCATTCAAAAAAGGTTATGCAGGTGAAGCCATCAAAAGCTCTGTTGTATTTGTATTAACAAATAGAACCTATGTAGACGCGATGGAAGTAGCTATATTTCTCCGAGTGTTGACGTTGTTCCCAACTCTAGACAATTACCTGCGCTCAAGGCGACTCCACTAGGAGCTGCAGTAAATCATGCGGTTAGACATACTACAAAAGAATTTATACTTAGAGCAATTCACAAAGACAGACAAAGAGCTGATTAAACCGGACACCTAGATGAAATACACAGAATCTCCCACAGACAATTTCACACTTGCAATTCAAGGCAGCAGCCTAAGCTAGTTAAGAATCACACAGAACAAAAGCAAAGCAAAAAATACCCCTCAAGCTAACGGTTGGGAGAGGAACATTACTAACTCTTCTTGTAACGCCACGATATAATACTGTTATGGAAGTCTTAGCTTATCGCAACAATAGAACTAAAAAGTGATGAGACCAAAAATGACTCTAAAAACAGGTGAAAAGAATCTCAGGTTGATTTTTTATGGGGGTCAAAGGCACCAGGCATGGTGTGTAGCTGAGGTGTTCTGAACAGCCAGCCCTCAAGGAAGAACCTGCCTCTCTTCATTTAATAGAACCAAACCCCAAAATTAAGTTTCAGCTCTTTGAGCCACTCTTTAGTTAAAAACTTCAAACAGGATGAATACCTCTGGAGGGAGCTAGATGTGAAAGACCAATTATGGATATAAAAAAGATGCTCTGTAGCTGATGATCGTCATTTCTTCTCCCTTAAACCAAACATGGTTATTTTATCTGTGAAAAACAGTGAAGGATGAAGAAAAGATCATTGGAAGTGAATGATATTTTAAAAAAAGGAGACATTCAGATTTAGGTCTGATTATATTTTGGGACCAAATGTAAAACACTTACATCTGAGCTTTGCTTCAAGAGGACAAAATCCAAAATATTTCATTGCATATTTTACAAAAATAAGATTAATTCCTGGGGGAGATTTCTTTCTCTTATAAGTGTCAACAGTGCAGCAGAAAAAAAATCTGTGTATATAGCAAGCACACAAAATATTAATGATGTCTTAATGAGGTCTTTAATCCTGTTCATAAGTTTAGGAGCACAGTCTGGGCAAAAGTTCCTTAAGTAACTTACCTTGTAAATCCCCCTTTTTTTCCCCAAGATTGAAATTTGACTTTTTTTTTTTTTTTTAATGGAGAACGGTGAAAACCAATGCAACTCCTGCTATTAGCAGTAACAATCTCGTACTTAAGTTTTTTTTGTCTACAGACTTTGAAGGTCTTTCTACAGAATAGCAAATGTCTTCATTATATCTTCTCCCAACAGCTGATACTTAATTCTGATTCTGCACCCTATCCACTGGACTACACTAGCCAAGGAAACTACACAGCTGACACACTGAAAGTGACTCTCAACTCTTCTGTAAATTTATCAGACATCCTATCGCTGTGTGCTACAAATGGATTCTAAGAAACTTAAAAAATGGAGGGCGAAACAGAAGAAAAAATGCATGTCTGTAACATTTGGGACTGCAAAAAACCTGAAATATGCTTTAACAAATGTATAAATGATTTCATTTCTCCCTGTTTACTATAGTCCATATGCAAATTAGCAGAATTCTAAATTTGTATGATGATTACTTTGAAAATTGGTCTTAAAACAGATTTTTAAAATGACAAGAATTTCACTGAAAAGCTTCGTGCTCCCATTTTAGCACAAAAATGTTATAGTTACGAACTTCTGTCAAAATTCCCATTAGTGATCATTTGCAATACCATTGCAATTTTTCATTTTTCATTTTTCATTTCATTTGAAATACCATTGCAATTTTGAAACCAGCACTGGATTAATCTCACACAACTTTCAACATCTAAATATTACGCAGCTAGTCTAAACTGGCTGTCAAGGTTCCCCACACAGTCAGTGGAGAAATACAGACATCTTTTGAAATGATTCAACCCAGTTCTGGTACGAAAGGATGATGAGCCCTCTCAAGGACACACTGTCCTCCCCTGGCTCCCCCCACTGAGCCTGGCCTCTGCCTTGAGAACTGGGTAATAGCAAGGTGTGACACAACCCATCCTCTCAGGATCACTTACAACGGACACTGCACAGACAAGCAAGAATTTAGGCACTACAGAAGAAAGCATGGAATAAAAATGCTTGGAAGATAAAGACTTCTATTTTAAATCCAATACTGACATGTGAGGTTTTTTTATTTTATTCATTATCCCTGTCCATGGCCAAGCAGTGCACTCCACCTGTGTTTCAGCTGAGAGCTCCGTTAATCTTTCACTGTTGTTCATCTCTTCCACCACAAAATTCTCTGATTAATTCACAGTCTTCCAGCTCACAACAGACCGTACTCTGTGTATGAAGGAAATGAAGCATATTTCTCCACTGCCTTTTGTCATCAACTCAATAGTTTTTAATGGACCATCACAAGACTTTCAAGCCATGGTACCCAAAGTGGGAAGATGGCAGAGCTCCACCGCAGATGAGAGGATGTGTCTAAAGTAGGACTGGTACAAGCCCTGCTGGGCATGCTGACCTCCTCCTGTAATGCCATGATCAGTAAAGGGAAAAAAGAAAAGGAAGGAAAGTGCTCTCCTGTAAATCAAAGCAAAACACAATCTGATGTCTTCATTTCCTCAGCTCTTATCTGAGAGTTCTCACTCTCTTATACATAATGACTCTAAATTTGGAGATGGGGAGAAACAGAACTGAAGGTCCCATGTAGCTTCTGGATGTTTTCTCTTCTATGTAATGGGTTCACCTCAGCCCACAAAAGCTCAACATCTCTCCCCTAACAATCACTTGCTGATGCACTTTAAAGGCCTCAATATCTAGGCCCTAAAGTGCATTTAAATCTTTTTCCTTCATCACCTAAATGGATCCACTACCTAGCCTTGCCCCCCGAAAGAAAAGTCCTGCATCTCCACAACTATCTTTGTGTTTACAATTTTTGTACCCAAAGCACAGGAGCAAAGCTCGCAGACATTGCCAGTATAACAAGAAGTTCAAGTCGGGCAGTTCCCTCCAGCACGGCAAATCTGTGCCACTACAGTGCCTCGCTCCACCATCTCCAGTGGACGTCTGTGGTCACACAGACATCAAAACCACTCCTCAGCTTTTCCTTGTCTCCAAAAAACATACCAGTATTGCTGATCTAAGGGAACCCTGAAAAGTTGGGGTTTAAAGCATGGGAGAGCTTAGAGCTCTCTTGCTTCTCCTCTCCACGAACAGATTAGCCTCATCTGCATTTATGGTCTGCAAATGTAAGAGCAGCAGATGTTGGGGCTGGCAGTAAGATCTAGGTTTTCATAGAGAGGCACAATGTTAATACAGCCCTGGGAAAGCAGTGAGCCAAGTAAAACAGTCCTGTAAGTGTACTATTACCCAGAAGGCCGTAAAGACAAGATCTAATCTGCTGTGATTCACTGAGCAACGTTACTTATTGCAAGAGCTTACAAACCCACATTTTAACAAAAGTGTCTGAAGCAGTTACAAAAGTTAGATCAAAACCTGACTTTTCAATTCACTCCCCAAAAGGCTTATGTTATCTTGTTCCAGGACTGATGAAATGACAACAGTGGTTAAACAAATAATGTTAATTGTCATCTGCAGCCTTTTACCAAATAAAATGGTAAGAGCAATCCATGCATACTCTGGGTTTTGTCAGCAATTACAATTCCAGCACCTCCCCTCCTCCACTGCGGCTTTGGCACAGTTTGCACCCACTGAGCACAACTCATTTTCATGATCTGCCCGGAGGGAACTACTCTGCTGCTATTCCCAGCTCTGCTATCAATTCTCTATTCCGGATCCTATCGTTGCTTTTTCTCAGGAAAGCTGCCCAACGTCGTCCGTTACCAGGGTCTGGCCCAAGGCTTAGCCAGTGACAGAACTGGTAATATCTCTCTGGTTTTACAAAATATCTGATTAATGATATGCCCCTTCCTTAGGCACCCTCCCTTCCTTCTCCCCAGCCTCTTCAAAGTGAAGCAAAGACTTCATTTTACTTTATCACTCTTTATTGCACGTTGCTGCATTCTCCTTGGTGTCTTTTTGAAAAGCTGTTGTCCCCTCCTCAAACTCTTCATTTCACACATACGTGAAGCGAAGAAAACCCACTCCACTTTGTCACTTACCTTCAGCTCTTCCGCGTCCTTCTTCTCTTTCACTACCTTGCTTTCCTTATCTATGCCTTTCCACCCTCCCAATCTCATTCATGAAATCTTTCCCAACAGCCCTCAAACTGGAGCTTCTTTTCTGATGGTTTAGACTGTGCAGACACTTTTTCCTCAGCTTTACCTTTTACATTCTCTTATTCAAGTGCATCACCTCCTATCTCTACTGGTACTGTATTTATATTTATAGCTAAAAGGCTAACATCACTCTTCGTTAGACAACAATTAATCTTTGTGAACACATTCCCTTTAGATAAAACCCCATTTATCTTCCTTAATTTTGCTTCCTTAATTTCTTCTCACATTTCACTTGGAGTTCACTGTTTTCTCTGTGACCACTTTCAACATAAATTAGATGGTGGCTAGTGCATACAGCCTTTTCTCTTTCCATCTCCACTTTTAAATTATGTCAACTGCTTCCTCAAAATCAGACAGAGAAACAAAGAGTCTTTCATGTTTCCTTCCTTATATCACAGAATGTTTAGGGTTGGAAGGGACCTCTGTGGGTCACCCAGTCCAACCCCCCAGCCGAAGCAGGGTCACCCAGAGCAGGCTGCACAGGACCTCGTCCAGGCAGGTCTTGAACATCTCCAGAGAAGGAGACTCCACAACCTCCCTGGGCAGCCTGGGCCAGGGCTCCATCACCCTCAGAGGGAAGAAGTTCTTCCTCATGCTCAGACGGAACTTCCTCTGCTTCAGTTTGTGCCCATTGCCCCTTGTCCTGTCACTGGGCACCACTGCGAAGAGTTTGATCCCTTCCTCCTGACACCCACCCTGCAGATATTGATAAGCATTTCTAAGGCCCCCTCTCAGCCTTCTCTTCTCCAGGCTGAACAAGCCCAGCTCCCTCAGCCTTTCCTCATAGGAGAGATGCTCCAGTCCCCTCCTCATCCTCGTAGCCTTCCGCTGGACTCTCTTCACTATCTCCTCATCTTTCTTGAGCTGGGGAGCCCAGAACTGGACACAGTACTATGGCACTTCCACCTTCAATTCAATGTGTAATTTTTATAGCTGGGTGATTAACCTGTCTTAGACTAATCTAAGCTAATCACACAGACGGGTAAATTGAAGCTCTGTCTGGAGGTATCTCTCTTTGTCACTAGGAACCTTACAGCGATGTGCAGCTTTTCGGCAGCTGAAGTTAAGAGAGATGATATTCACACTAACTGTAATACTCTAGTACTACCAGTTCCATTTTCCCTGCAGAGAAACAAATACTGGTGGAACTGGTGACCCGCTCACAACCGCTGCATCCAGCCAGCAGTAGCATTGGGATCAGATCAGGGCTCACAAACTCCTGATCTCCATTTTTAGAGTTCTCCACCTTTACCAGGGGTCCCTGAACTGAGCTGTTCTGTGCCGATCCCCAAAAACTCTTACACGAATCATTTCTTTAAGTCTTAAAAGAAAGAGAGCAGCAGTTAAGATATGTGAGAGATCATCTTTCTTTGTGGCCAAGTTTTGTGGCTTTTGTTTACTTCTTTGGTGAAATCTGTTTTTTCTAGAAGAATCACAGAATCACAGAATGTTCGGGGTTGGAATGGACCTCTGTGGGTCATCTAGTCCAACCCCCCTGCCGAAGCAGGGTCACCTACAGCAGGCTGCACAGGACCGCGTCCAGGCGGTATTTACTGAGAAAAAATAAAAGTACTAAATGTATCACTCATCGTGACTTAATTTTGCTCTTACAGCATTCCATCCAGTCATGAAAATCTATGGCACATTCACTTATATTCTTATTTCTTGTTCTGATGGTCTCAGGCCTGGCTTCTCTAACTTGATCCTGCTCAGCAGTCCTTAAGAACAATTACTTCTCACACCTCCTCTCCCCAGTCATTATAAGGAATAATGAAACACCAGGATAAGCTGCCTGGAGAGCCTGTGGAAAGCTCAACTTCAGTGATCGTAAGGAAGCGGCTTCACAAATATCTGATAAAAATGACAGGGGTGAATGTAGTCCTGACTTGGAGAATAAAGCTGGCCTAAATGGTTTTATGGAGTCCCCCACTACCCTACAGGTCTGCGATGTATCAATATTCCTATAACATCGACAGCAACTGGCTTTTGAAAGAACTAAACAGGCTTCAGCACGTTTTCAGCTGCATTTTTGTGATTCTGAGGCAGAAGCCGAGCTTGTCGCATACATCAAACCAGCTCTCTGGGGACAAGCAGCCGCTGCTCCACTGGTTACTGACCACAAGGCAGCAGAAAATCTGATCTCTGATCCATATCTAAAAATCTGATATATCTGCATCTCCTTTTGTGCTCTCATTCATGGCACTGAAAGCTCTAGATTATGTAGTAAAAATGGACAGAAAATGGGCACCAGCAACAGCCACGAAAATCTGACAAAAGGATTTAGCTCTCAAATTGCAAATATTAAGCACAAAGCAAGGTAGACAGAAAAGTATAAAAAACCCCATAAAGTCATGCAATGACTTTATGTAAAACAAACAAAAACCGTAAAATAAAATAAAGAAAAAAATCATAGAACCATAGCCTACAACAAACAGACTGAACTACTGAATGCTCAGCACCGTAAACCAGCTTTTAGCAAGACTCTCAAACACACCCTTCTCCACAGGACGCTTATAAAATCTTACAGAACGCTCAGTTTAATGTGAATTTACACCTACAGGAGATTATGTTTCCATATCTATTCTTATTGCGGTTTTCATCTTCCTTGGCTGTATCCCAGGATGCCGTCTGCCCCTCGGGTAGTGCCTGCAAAATAAACAATAGCAGCGTGTTTATAAAAATCCGGCCAACGCCTGCAGGTGGATTAAGATGACTGATAAGGGCAAAAATAAAGGCGCTGCATAATTCAGTGGTCACCCAAGCAAACAGCTGTTCTTTAGGAAAGGGCACATCCACTAATGCAAAGAGCAGAGCCCGGTGCAGACCATTTGCATTTCTTGGCTTCTGCCAGCAAAGCATCACTTTCCTCCTGCTACTTCAGCTCTAAAAGGATCAGGGGAATTTGGTTCTGGCTGCACAGTCACAGGTGAACCTCATTTTCCCCGCAGAACAGGGCTTGTGGAGATTTCATATGCATACACTTCTAAGCAAAACCTGATTGCTGAAACATAGTGCTCAGTCTTTCAGATTTAAGTTGAAAAGAGATACAGTGGTTTCACCTATTTCTGTATTAATGATGGGGTGATGCAACGCAAACCACTAGCTGGTTTCCTTGGGGGGAAAGTAGAAAGGCTCAGAGTTTTTGATCATGCCTTAGGAAGAGAGGTAAAAGGAGGTAAAACACACTCACAAACTATGAAAATAAAGAGCCATTTTCCTAAAATCTGCTCTTTCAGTTGAGGAAGGATTGGGTAAGGAAACTGCCAGCACACGGTGCTGCCCTCTGGCTTGGTCCTGTAGCTGTTCTGAACACACGCAGATGAGCCACCTTCCTCTTGAGACAAGTCCAGTAAGCATTTTCATGGCAAAGCCAGGAAAATGGCAGTTGTCACCAGGTCTGGCTGGAGGACAGTCTTGCCTTCCTTGGAAGCTGGCCCGGACGTCTGGAAGCAGGATGATCCCTCTCCCTGTCTCCAGACAGTCAGGTCCCAGCGCAGGCAGAGCAAAGCAGCCGGCACAGCAGTGCTTTCTGCCGGAATAGCGATGCAGCAGCTCCCTGGGCATCGCCGCCGGACAGAAAGCCATGATGTGCTGATGGTCGCTGGCACCAGCCCAGCCCTGCCCTGTGCCTGGAACAAGAACAGCTCCCAAGGAATTTCCTCTCTAGATCTGCCTCCTCCAAGATCTACTCCCTAACATGAGCCTACATCACTAAAAACAACGGCAACATTATAAATGGCATTATTTATGGCCCCCAGGGAATTACGGGGTTTTTATACCACAGTCATTGTAGAATCATATCTGCCTTAGCCATCAGCAGGTAGTTTGACAAAGCTGTGCTAGAAAATGAATTTATATTCATCTTCACAAGCCATCCGGGTCTATTACAGTGCCTGAATGCAATAGCAGAGAGACACAATTATTAGGATCTACAACACTGACATTGCAATTAAACTTAATATGAGCAAAACCCTGGCAGACCAGATCGCTGCGAATTTCTCCCAAAGGGGTTCCAGGACAGAAAATGTCCGGTACTGCAGCACTGCCAGGAGCACCGCTGATAAAAGACAGGGACAGGGAGTTCCTATTCAAACGCCCAGGAGAAAGAGTAATAACTCTGTAATTGGTGAGGGCTTTGATCACACATATCTCCTTTACAGACAGCTGTTTCCAAATAGCAGCTCATCTCCTGAGCAAAAAAAAAATAACAACAAAAAAAAACCAACCCACACACAACAAAAAAATCCCGGAGTAAAAGAAAAGAGGTGAGGAAGGTTCATTTTTATCTTCGAAGACTGAGGAAAAAGGTGCCTTATTTTTCCACTAATATAAAATTACAGCAGATTGACCAGAGAATGGCAACAGTCATTTGACATCTAATCAATGCCATCTGAAAAGAAAAACAAAAAAAAAAAAAAAAATCCAAAAGATATAAAATTCACCCGTTCTCATAACTTCCATGTGGGAGAAGCTAGCTTGGCCAAAGAAAACACATTCAGGTCCAATAAATCCCTTTTCAACAAGCCCTGTCCTTTCATGAGATCTGAACACGAAATTCTCCATTGAAATTGATGTTTTTATATTTGCCTGATAGAGCCTCCAAAGATTTAAAAGTCCAGGATTTTTCATCTCATTCAATACCAAAGAAATCTCTGCTTTTGACAGAACTCTCCACCTCTGCAGAGAGGAAGCACAGCTCTGCTTGGTGAGGACCACAAACTGCCTTTGCAGAGGTGCACCTTACGCCCCTACTCCTATGCACGCCAGATGAACAAATCCGAGTAGCTGCACATACATGGGTGGTACAGCACAAAGAATTTTTCTGTGAGATCACTAAAAATGCAGCGCCAAGAATTGAAACTACATTAGAAATACAAGGGCAGAAATATCAATTATAATTCGGTTGCATCCAGAAAGAGAGGAGCATACCTCCTGTTCTGCTCCTTCAGTTTTTGCTTGTAAAGTATCTCTATAATAGCAAAAAGCATTAATAGTTCTGTTTCTCTCTGCATTATCAGCAATGGTATATCGCAACAGACCGCTCAGACATCGGTATTTGCTCCACATTTCACAGAAAATGCTCCCCCTTCTTTCTTTAACAACTGCATAATTTCAGTGTTCAAAAATCTGGACTTGATTTTCAGGCTTTTCTTACTTTTCTTCTTTTAGAGAAGTTCTGTAAAATTTATACTGAAATGTCTTCCCAGTAGAGCAACTTAAGTTACAATGATGCTTTTTAAACTAAATTGATCTAATTTTTACTGAAATTGCAAGGACAGAGCTCTAAAAGGCAGCTTCACCTCAATCAAGCTTTCTAAGCAACATACCCCAAACATAACTGAAGTGCTCACATTAAATTGAGGCTTATTGCAAGCCAATTTATATTTCCAGTGGATGCATTTAGTTAGTTTGCTATTTGTTTTTAATTTAAATACGAAAACTGGAATCATTCATTGCACTGATCTACCCCAGCGCTGCACTATTGCCACCAAAGGCAATGACATCAATTAAAAGCCTTACTGCTCATCCCAAAGCCTGCCGCAGAGCCCTGGCCCTCTCCCTGCGGCCACTACCTTCTCAACAGTGATGGCAAAACTGTTACCACAACTCTGCTGTGACCCAGGATTAAAAACTGCTTTGGATAAAAAAAATAACCTGAAAAGAAAACTGCAGCCAGTTCAGTTCCCCATTGTGGTTCATAGCAAAGCCTTAAGCCAACGTTCTCCAAGGAGAGCAGCTACTGTAACACCCTGCTGCCCAGCATCCTGCAGTGCCACGCCATGGCCTGAGCCACAGGATCTGCTCCTTTGACCAGCCAGAGCTGACTTCAATAAGCTGAAGACCTTCAATACTAAGATGCTTGAGGAAGGAGCCACAGAATCCAAAATAATGAAACTGTCTCCGTGATGCAGCAGGAGAATGTACTTTAGTGACATCCTAAATCATAATGGAAAATGAGCTTGGATACTTAAGCTTATTATCTCCGTAGCCAGTAATTGGTGCTCACACCAAGCCTGTGGCAGTAGTCCCCCAGCTCACAACAAATCAGGGCTGATACGTTCTGAAAAAGGAGCAGGCGACATTTAAACGTGTCCCGTCTAAATGTTTACGGCGACGCCTAATCCCAAATAGTGCTACCTACATCCAGCGCCGGTGATAGACTTCTCTCTTGCAGTCCACACGATTCATTGCTAAACAGAAGCAGCAGCCAAACATCCCAAGTCACAGGGTGGCCTCAGGTGCCGCAGGCAGACCCAGAATAGCACGCACATGGCAAGTGCCGACAGATTCCCACGTTCACACGCTCAGTTCTCGTCCATTTCACACCAGCAGTGACACCGCTTACACAATCCCATCCTGCTTTTCATCTCAGCGTGGAGTTATGTGCAAGGTGCAAGCAGCAGAAATATTCTTATCGACGCCCTCGGTAAAACACTTTGCCTGTGCTGCGATGGTCGGTAGGTGAAGGTATATTTTAAACAAATATCGCATGCAATTTCCCGGTTGCTCAGTGGAGATGAGAATGTAGAGAGATAAGAGATTGTCAAGTGTGACTGATGCACTCTGTTCAAAGTGATTTTGCGTGATAGTAAAATTATTTGGTAACATGTCATTAAACAGGCTGTAGTTTATGCTGTCAATTTGCAAACTAAGTAGAAAATCAGCTCCTTAGAAGAAAAAACATATTTGGAGGTGACACCGATATTAGCGTATGAAAACACATTTTATAAGAGGCATCAAATTCTTTTTTAAGACTTTATCAACCAATCTGCAAAACGTTTTGCCAAGCCAGTTTCTCAGCTTTGTGTTGCTCCAGATTCCAGCCTGCGACCCCACTCTCAGCCAACCCAAACCTCCACCTTCCAGGAGCTGCACCACTCCCGGCTTTCCTCCCCGCATTCCCGGGATCGCTGGCGGTGGCTGAAAGCTGTTTGGAGCCCAAGTGCTGCCTGCGTCCCATGCTCCGAAACCCAAATGCCACCACTGAAAATGACTGCTACGTCGGGCGATTACCTCTGAATGAAGGGTAGGACAGCGCTTGTGATTTGAGAGCTTATGGCATTCTCCAGGCTATTTCGTGTGAAGAAAGAAATTATGCAAATCTATATAATGTCACCATCATCATCTACAAATGTAGATAGCGCTTTCTGGGAAAGGCAGAACTTGTGGAGCTGAAAGTTGCATTGACATTTTTCATGCTAATGTGTTATTTTGATAATTACCAATGCCAGTGCCAGAAAATTACATATATGCCAGCACCTGTTTTCTTCTTGAACATCAAGAACTAGATCTTAGGGCATCTGTAATTGAGCTGAATGTAGTTTTGGGTACTATTCATGGAAATGGAGGCCAAGGGAGGGCTAAGTAAATCTCCTAAGAGAATTATTACCCTTTTTCAATATTAAACAGAGCTCTTTATATTGATAGTTTAATTAGTGTGCTTGATTGTGGGGTCTGAGTGCCTAGACCTGGCTAACATACAGTTACCAAAAACATTTGTTATGACAGTCTTTGATGCCATCTGATCAAAAAAATACTCCTTAGTGACAAACAGAAAAAGATTGCCTCTCAATTACAGCAAAACCCAGCATCAATGATACAAACCCCACGGACTTACTTGCAGAATGGAAAAGTGAGCTGTTTTCATTAAGTAACTTATTTTTCACAGCTGTTATGTTATTTTTAAGTAGTTTTAATGCCACTATGCATATTAATTGCTTATTGCCTTCCCACAAGCTTACCACATTCATTATAATTATCGCTTGCTACAGCAATGTCTCACATATGTTTGACGCTATTTCCCTCTTCTGTTCTCTCTCCTCTAAATGTATATTCCTCTTCCAACTCCTCCCCAACGTCATGTTTCTGCTTGTCATTTCAATTACATTCCTGGTCATTCCAGCTTGGGATGGAGCTGGGGGGGAGCAAGGCTGCTTTCATTTTTGCAGCTTACTCTTTGCTTCTCTCTTCACATGGAGTAGGAAGAGTAGATCAGACAAACATATTCTGAGCCAGAGGTTTGAGCATACTGGAAAACTCCACTTTCATTTAAGCAACACAAGGTTCCTGCCTTTGCCTTTACAACTCCTCATTCAGGTCATTACACTGTGATTTAATCTGATCAATTGTTAATCGGAGCTCCCAAAAAGCTCAAGCAAAAACTTTTCCTTTTCTCAAAGCCTGGCTTGCACTATCGTCGGCTCAAGCACATCAATAAGTAAGGGACCATGGGACTCCAAGTCCTTCACTGAGTTCAGCACCTGTTAAATATTTACGGTCTGCTCTTTATGGGAGAGAGGGCACACGCTAACGGATAAGCACTATGTCATTTTCTTACTGCTGTAGTAAATACTTTTTCTTTGGACTAGAGAGCCACCAAAGATTGCTAGTGCTGTAAAATCCTACCCTCATAAACAGAAATACGACGGAGAAAAGAAAGGATAAAGAGGGTAAGTGAATTAAGGAAAAGAGGCTCTTAAAACCCGTTCTCCTCCCCTCCCAAGCACCTATGCTTTGCGAGTGCAAGTCCTCTACTTATTCACGTGAGTGAAGGTTCCTCTCACCTCGTACTCCTCTTTAAATCCATAGCCCTGTCCTCGCTTCATCTGGGTGATGTGCTGCAGTAGGTCGGCCACTCGGATGGCTGGCTGGAACTGCCCCCGGGGGTAGGACATTTCCACCGGCTCGCAGCTCCGGTACGGGTGGGTCTGGATAGTCAGGGTTGGCTGGGTCATCTCTCCATGGCTACTGTCTGTTTTAAAGACAGGGAGGCAAAACAAGCTTTCACCTATCTGGTATTTCCACTCTCATTCTTGCTCGGTTTGTTTCTTTCTTTCTCCACCACCCCACAGGCTGGCGTAGGCAAAAGAAACTAAAGAAATCAGTAGGAAACACACACTTGCCTATAGCTACCTACAAAGACTGAATCACGCTTGAATATTTCTTGTGTCAAGGAGACAAACCCAAAGAGATGGGAAACAGAGTGAAGAGCCAATCAGGCTAAGGAGGATAGAGCACATAGAGCGAAACAGCACATTTCATAAGGCTGAGCTCCGCTAATGACCCCAACCGAATTACGTACCTTTCTTCACAAACCTGGAAAGAACGTGGCTGAAAGACACATACAGGCGAGCAAGATATTCAAGCAGGATTTGGGGCATACAATATGAGATAACTGAAAGGGGCCCAAGTTAATAGCAAACAAATTATTAGCATTTCAAATAAGCCACACAGGGCGTTACAGGCAAATTAGAATGCTCTGCTAGGTCAGGCCTAAAATATAGACCATTACAAAGATGTAATATTATCAGAAAGAATAAACTAGGATAAAAATATTGTTAACTTGCATGCAGAAACTTAAATTTCAGATACATGAACTTGAAAAAAAAGGGTTTTTTTCTGAAAGAAATGGATTTAAAAAATCTCTATGACTACGCAGATCGAATTTCAATCTCTTATATCCCCAGCACAACACACACACAACAAAATATTCCTGGTGAACTAATAGAAAACAGCTTAAACAATCAAATAACTGACTATCGCAATGGTTATTTTTAACAACAGAAACTCAGATTAGATGAAAACTTTAGTTTCTTATCTACCAGAGCTGACCAAATTTAAATAGTTGGCCAAACATATCATTAGTTGTTCCTGTGATTACAGGCTTCTGAGATGCTTGGGTTCTTTCGCACATACAGACCTTAACAGGTCTTACCCCAAACCAAGCTATTAGCAAACAAAAAATATATCTCCCTCTGTTCATAAAAAATCCTTAAGATTGCATACACAAGGCTTGTTTCTTACAGAAAGCCTACTGGCAAAGAGCCTAAACGCTATCTCTTGACAGCAACACTGCAGTCATGTTTTTGAAGGCATAGAGAATAAATAAATTAAATGGCAATTTCAGGGTGATTTTTGTGAGGCAGAAATATGGCCGGAGGGCTACTGAAAACATTGCTATCCTTGAGATATCGCCATGGAGCTTTGATCAGCAGCAGTCAGGATCTCTGCCTGTCCCTCACCGTGAAGCTGGGTAGGAGCAGGCAAGCTGAGGGCATCAGACAGCCTGCCCTGCAGCTGGCAACGAAACGACATGACAAAACACGACAAATAACGTTTTAGCTGGTTTATGATTATATTAGGGGGAAGATATCAAGACAGACATATGCTCTGTTTTCAGGTTGCATGACTACAAGGAGGAGAAAGGAATGCCAGCAGTGAACATTGCCACAGAGCAAGCTGATCTCCAGTGTGAGATAAATAAGTCTGGTGGTTGAATTATCAGAGATGCTGAACACATCCTGCTTCTTCTGAAATAAATTAGCACAAAGTGGTCATCTGCTCTTGAAGAGTAGGCTACTGAATTTAAGGATTTCTGAATCCCATGTTCCCATAAACACAGGAGCATTCCCAGGACACTCGGAGATTTACAGAGCTATGGCTCTAGCAAAGCAACCTTCAGATACAAAATGTGAATAAATTTTGGATTTAAGGAAGAGTAACATCCAAAGCATTTGTATAATCATCCCTAATGCTCCGACTAATGACAGTGTGAGAACTCTGAACAGAGGGAATTTCAAGGCTTATTAATTCCCCTAGTTGGATTCACTTTCTCTGTGCATTTTTCCTCCCCTATTCCCTATTAACCTCCTGTAATGGAGAGGAGAAGATTTTTATCGCGGACCATTTCCGATAGACGTACTATGCTTAATTTTCCATCATTAGGCTTAATACAAACCCAATTTCACAATTGGCTTCTCTGAGGAACCTACAAGCAATGCCACATTTTTATCAGCCCCAATTAAAAAACGTTGCAATATCCCTATTCGAGAGGGAGCCTTAAAACTAATGTGCAGTTCTAGTGCTAATACAGTCAGGGCACATGCAGAGCACAGGCTACTTGTAAAATGTAGCTCAGATCACTCAGCTCCTTTGCAGGCAATTATTAATTTCTCACTTCATCAGATCCTTTAATTCTGGTATACTTGGCTCTCTTCTCAGAGAGAAGTAGCATAGGGAGAGGTGAAAGCCAGGAAAGCAGTGCCCCCTCCCTTCCAGAATAACTTCCCTCAAAGTAGGTGCCCATGTGAGGAATCTGGTACTTGAAGAAGCCGTTAGCAGCAAAGCAGCATTTGACTCTGGCCTTCGAGTTTATACTGACAACTGTGCTTCTCCTCCCTTTGGTCAGACAGATAAAAAATGGTACAAACCCCGCTGACTGCAGTAGCAGCTCTTGCAGCATGGTCCATGGCATCACACCGTTGGCGTGCCTCTCACCCATGCATCACAGTCTGGGTCGTCCTACTCTCAACCACATGACACACAGAGCTGAAACCAGGCAGAAGATCATCTATTCCAGGCGTCCGTGACAAACAGACAATCTTGAATGGCCTCTGCGCTACCCAAAAGAAAACCCAGGCCTGACATTTGCACCAGCTCAGGATGGCTATCACAACTTCCACAAGCCAAGGAAAGAGAGGAGAGGCTTTTATGGAGACAAATTGCTATGGATGAGGTGCGCGAAAGCCAAGGAAAGAGGGGAGAGGCTTTTATGGAGACAAATTGCTATGTATGAGGCGAGCCTAGCGTTCATATGTTCTGCTAACAAAGCCTGATGCAAGAAACATATTGTTCCTTCTCCTTCTAATCCCACCATAAGCCTGAACCTAACCATGGTTAATGAGGCGCTCACGCAAGGCATGACACCTTCGCTCAAGATGGGCTGCTTACAGCAATGTTGTGAACAACTCAGAATGCAGGTAGGAGGGGAGGCAGCGGCAAACCGATCTCTCGCTAGGACAATCAACCAAAGGACTCTTTGAAGGGCTGCAAACAAGCTTTGCTTTTCCTGCAGGTTGCAGCTACAAACCACACCTCATTCCTCTTGGCACCATTATTACTGCAAAAGACAACAAAAATAGCAGTCCCTGAGCAAAGTCAGACTTCTGCCTTAATTGTTGTACTAGAGGCAAGTCACAGCCATTTTCCACAGTCCCCTCTCTCTGTCCCCTTCTCACAAACATGTCCCCACTCCCTTGCAAATGACGATGACTTTGTAGGACAAGTTGGCCAAGACTTTCTCTAAAGTTTCGGCAGCACCTCTAAAGTACATATGCCTTTTATGAGTTTTCAGTGAGCAAAGCAAATCAAGCAGATAGATTTTTTGGAAAGATGCTTGAAATAATTCACTCTGCTACTCAGAAACTACTAAATATATGGAATCGTGCATCAGGGTTTTTTTTATTATTATGTCACAGGCACATCTTATTTCTAGTCTTATGTCCTCAATTTGTTGATAGGAACACATACCACCATATTTCATTGCATACCAATGATGGAGTACACTTCCCAGAGATAATCCAAATTAAAATGTTTCAAGAGATGGTGATTCCATTCTGACCCCAAAGGTAGTGGCAATGGTTAATTACCCTTGCTGTCTAAACATTTCTTAATTGCAATTTGATTTTGCTTAACTTCGACTTGCAGGCACTGAGTCTTATTATACCTTCTGTTAGATTAAAGAGCCCTCTGAGCATTTGAAACCCTAACCCATGCAGGCACTGATCAAATCACATCTTCAGTTTCTCTTTGATAAAGTAAATCAATTGAGAGCTTCTGAAGTCTCATTAGGGCAGGCTGTTCAGGGCTCCAGTTCCCTCCTAGAACCATTTCCAATTTTCCACAGTCCTTTTTGTGCAGCTGTAAATAAAACAGGTATTCTGCACGTTGCTGGAAACATGTTGTTTGCAAGAGGACCATTTCTAATATCAGCAGCTGCCACAGCAAAAAATGTTGTCAGCTTGTTTGTCAACCCTTTTTAATGCAATACTCTTACTCCCCATATCAAGACGTCTGTTGCCAACGCAGATATTTTGATTTCTGGAAGCTGGCACTTTCATTTTCAGCCTAAGCATTCACAGAATACCCTGAAATTTTGTATAAGATGTTAAATCGATGATTCACTGGCTCTCACATAGCTAGTCTGATTGGGAAACTCTTCAGGCATCTCAGCTTATGTTCTTAGAGTGTAACTGCAGATAATGAAGTCTAACAATGTTGACTCCACTTTTAATATTCACAATCTCTCCCTGCTTATGACGTGCTGCTTCTTGTGATGCTCTTCTTTGCTGGAGAAATAATTGTGAACTTGCTGAAGTAAACTCTGAGGTCTTACTCTGCCAAAGGAAACCTCAGGGAGTCCAGCGCGTAGAAAAAAGCTGCAGCAGAGGCCGGCTAGGTGGGCAGCTTTCCCCACTTGATGAGTAACCCTGAGGGCGAGATATTATTGCTTGCCTGCTGCTACAACACCTGTTATATATACTTCTGTTGCTACCCAGACAAGCAAAATAAATACGTCTCCCTCCACAGAAAAACTGATAAACTCCTCCATAGATGTCATAGATAAGATGAAGTGCAGCTGAGAAATTAGATTCCCAGCCTGCAAGTGGCTCTGCATGATCAGACCCCTGTGCAACGTCCCAGTAAGGCTGCTGGGAGGGAACCCGCTCATCCGGAGCACCTCTGGGGATTGAAACTTTGGATGCTTTTCTACATGTCATCTTGTTTCATAAACACAGTTTCATTAGTCTGAGACACAGGTATTTGGACACAGAGTATGATGTTGCCTTCTGACCAGAAAACTAACCTATGCCTCAAACAATGAAAAGCAATGCTGCACTGATGTGTCATCTAGTCTATGCAGAGAAGCTTCTTTCAAAACTATTGCTTTACTATCCACGAATTCCTTCTGTGTCTGAAGTGACAGGCCTATCATCTCTGCTTATACTTTTATTCTCTTATCCTTGGCAAGTGTGTAACACGATAAGACATCCTTTGCACAAAATAAATTATATTTTGAGTGGTGTTTGTGATGGATTTAATTATACACATCTCCAGTCTCTCTACACTAGAGTAAGGGTTGTCAATTATTTGACATCTTCCAAGGATGACTACAGCATGGCTAATATCTATTCCCCTTACACTAGGGATATAGTGCAAGCTGGTAAAATTAATTTTCTTTTTTGCATGCATCAAGGCTTTATTATATGATAAATATCCAGCTATAATACTCTATATACAATACAAACAGTGGTATGGCAAACCAAAGTCAAAACATCATTTGTTTAATGATATCAACTGAGCTATAAAAAAGCACATTCCTTAACAAAAAGCCTTCTGACACCAGGTTTGACAGAGCGGAGGATGCATCTTTCATTTCAAAGGCTATGAAACAGCCCCACGTGCATAACAAAAAAAAAAGAAAGGCTGGAGAAAGTAATTTTCTCTAGATTCTGAAGAGATTTTTAAGAATCACTTGGTAAACAACTTACACAAATGTATTCTAATCTTACAAAAACTACTGCACGCATTTTGTTTTCTTCAGCTAGCATAGAAGAATACCCCTTAAAGATGTAAGAAACATGCTTTGACGAGGTGGGCTAAGATTTGGGACTACTGGGTCCATGTATAACAGTGCAGCCCTTCAAATGCATGGACCTCACCAAGAGAAATCTCTCTTTGCCTCCTTGGTGAAAGGAGGCTGTCAGACCTACCTACCTCACAGAGCAATTCGTTAGTTACAGCTGAAAAACTATTGGCAGCTTCAGAACAGCACGCAAAACTAGGAGCCACTAAAGACTGGAAAAGAGAGTTTTCCAAGCGACATGATCACCCACAGGCAGAAAGAGATGTAAGAGAAATCTAGCTCAACAGCCTACAAGGGCACGCGCCTCCATTGCTCATTCTACTGTTGGCCAACGTTAGCACAGCAAACTGATGCAGAAGCCTTTCCTGCAGCTCCTTAGAGGCCTACATGGCCTGGGAGGCTGCAGATACAACTGAACAGATCAAGCCATTGATTTTTCAAGCTTCCATGGCATAAAAATAACTCATCTCACAATTTAAAAAGCCAGTAATGGTGACACTCGCTCATGCAGCAAAATCATCTTGGTATCTTTTTAGTTCTTCAAATGTCAGGTTGTGGACATAACCACAGCAGATTGATTAGGCACAGGCAAAAGCCCATCTGAGCTACAGAAGAGTGAAATGCAGGGCAAATTTCTATGTCTTCCTAAGCACAAGCCAGTTTTTGTGTGAGACTTCATGACAGCGAGCTTTCTCTGCTTGTTCTGCCCATCTGCAAGGAACAACAAGGCACTACAGTCCTCATCCTACCCGGAGGGCAGCAACTCCTGTTGCTAGGATCCTTTAGTAGCTGAAATGAGAACAAGGGCGAATATCCTTACACACTGCCAGGAGATATTAATGGAAGCAAGGGAAGGGCATACTTAAAAGGGGCTTATAAGAAAGATGGGGACTAACTTTTTAGCAAGTCCTGCTGTGATAAGACAAGCAGTAATGGTTTTAAACTAAAAGAGGGTAAATTTAGTCTGGATATAAGGAAGAATTTTTTTACAATGAGGGTGGTGAGACTCCAGCACAGGTTACCCAGAGAGGTGGTAGATGCCCCATGCCAGGAAACATACAAGGTCAGGTTGGACAGGGCTCTGAGCAACCTGATCCAGTTGAAGGTGTCCTTGCTCATTGCAGGGGGGTTCGACTAGATGGCCTTTAAAGGTCCCTTCTCACACTATTCTATGATTCTGCATTGGTTCCCTAAAGCGACTGCCCTGATGACATACTTGCCATATACATTTTCTCCAAGAACAACTTCTAAGTTTGTACTACCTCCTCTTCAGGCCTTACACTACTGGTACGATGTGGGCCTTACAGAAGTATTAAAAATAGGGAAATCTACCTCCTTTATTTGTCAGTACTAAATATTCACTTATCTAGTGAAGATGCTTGCGCACAACTTTTAAATCCAGACCTGTCTACAACTGTGAGAGAAAATTAAGGAGCTAAAAATATGCATTGCATAGAACAGTATTAATCAAGCACGGGACAAGGTAGAGACAAAACCAGAATCCCCTATACCTTCCTATCAACTAATCACATCACAGTCAAGCCTAGGGAATCATCCGCTATTGCAGATACAGAACATTTATTAGCAGCAGGCGTAACAGATGGGAACAAATAGCACTGAACTGCAGATAGTGCCCAAAGACAGATATTGGTAGTGGGATGACTGATGCCCTTTTTGAAATCTTTTCCTTTCCCAGGAATGAATATTAATACACTTCAACAATTAAACTTCTTTTGCTCATGCAGCAACATCCAACGTCTGATGAATCTGTTCAAGAAGTCAGAATACCAAGGTTTTAATTTGTCTTCACATCACAAGACAGAAATTTCTTCAACGCTAAGGGCAGTTTTACAGCACCTGTGGCTGTTAAATTCAGCTGGACCTTGGGGGGTGACCTGTCCTTGTAAATCATGTCTTAAAAGTGCTCTGTACTCAACTTCCTGTAAGACAGGGATGTTAATCCTTACTCAGATCTAGCGGCTAGTAGAAGTTAAGTTAGAAAGAGTTTTTTATTCCTAAGCACAAGACCAGTTTAATTCCTATTTCCTCTTTTCCATCTCTAGAATCTGGGATTGTGAAAGTTTGGGGGACTTTTTTGGCTTTTGCTTTCCCACGAGAAGCACAGATTGAATTGAATCTATCGCTCCTTGCGCTTCAGATTACGTCATTCTCATAACGAGACAGAGGGGAGAAAACAGCTCCCTCAAATGAGGGTCCGGTTTTCTCAGGTGCCAAGTACCAGACTGAGAGCAGTTTGATACCATTCAGCAAACTGCAGCTCTGGGCCCTGTTTCTGAAGTACAGCCAAAAGATAAATCTACCTTTAGACTTTTCTATTGACAACACTGAGTCACTGGGAAACGAGAACAAACCTTCTGGAAAAAGGACTCCTTTCCTTCCCCATGTCATTAAAAGAGGGTTCATTCATTGCCGTCAGCATTTTGATAGATAGCAGGATAAATGTGTGTGCTGTGGCAGTCCCTCCAAGCCTCTGTGCCCCGGCTGTCAGTCTGTAAGCCAAGGCACTTAAGCGATCGGTTGTAATTTCTTCCTGGTCTAACCGAGGGCCTTCAACATGCTCAGAGTAATGTTTAAAGCAGCCACGGCAGATTACTGTGTCTGGAAGTAAACATTTACTGTAGATAATCCAAAACGACAGGTCTGATAAATACCACTGGTTAGATTCTGATCAACCACACATCATCTTTCTGATTCATAGCGGAGAAATTGCCTTCAAATTCCACACGCAGGCAGCATCCTCTGGGGACAGCCTGAAGTTGCAGGCTGTTATTACTCACTTTCAAGCATACATCTCCAGTAAGTTTCTGGATAACTTCTTTTATCAGCTAACAGTTTCTGCCAATTTTGCTGTCTCTGTTAACTTACTGTAAAAATGCATTACTCTTAAAAACACAAAAGCTAAGAGCTACACACTGGATGCTTTACTTATCATCTGAACAAGGAAAGCTAATTTTCAGAGATGCTGAACACTAACACCTCCCTCCAGCAGCCACAGAACAGCTTCCACCTCTCAGAGTCTGCCTTTTTATTCTCCTCTCAAACCCACACCAAACCACTTGGACATTGAGCATTTCCCTTTCAGCATGCGCAGAACGAGGTGGGGCCACTTGCCCAAACCCAGCCTCTGATTTCTCCAAACAATCTCTCTACTTGCAACCGAGTTCGAAACTGCAAGCTCTCCCCTGCTTTGGACTTGCAGACCCTCACTTGTCCCAGGCAGCTGAGCCTCACCCGCAGGACTCGGCCACGCCAGCTGCGCGGCACAACCACCTACGCGAGCCAAAACCAAGCCAAAGGCAAGGCAGCGCCCGGGAATTTGGCCCGGAATGTCAAATCCCATTCACAAAAAGAAACAAAAAATACTTGCTATCACTCCTAAACTTCAACTTTTGAACTCTTCTTTCTTTAAAATAATTAAAATACCAATTAATAGCAATAATAAACCATGAGTAAAATAAAAGTCTTTCCAATTAACAAAACACACGACCACACGATTAATTATGATTTTGGAGCCCAGCCACTTAACAGTGCTGAGTTATTTTCAAGATGCAACGAGTGCGTTTGCTCTCCAGTGATGTGTGATACACCATACCTGTCTTCTTACCTAACAGCGTGGTCGATGGAACAGTGTCTGATGATACTTTGAGATGGAATTCCGTTCACCCACACGACACGGATCAATGGAAATCAACAGAAGATCAACAGGAAAAAAAGTTAAAAAAATGAAAACAAGGTTAGCTGTATATCACACTCCGAAGACTTGGTCTATAGTTCATATTGGGAAACGTACAAAAGCAAGGAAAATTTAGAAATGAAAGAAAAGTCTGGCACTAGTACCTGAGTAGTAGGAATTCAACAAAGATTTGCTCTGAAGGGTTTTGCTTTGGACAGAAAATGAACAAGGAGAGGGTGATGCTAGGTAGGAAAGACATAAGGAAAAGACTTTAGACATATATTAAGAGAGAGAAAGAGAACAGGGACAATGCTCCTCAAAGAACACAGCAATATGGGATATATAAGGCTTATCAAAATGAATTATATTTTTCATCTCGACATGCATATTACATTTATTACATTGTCATCATGATGGATTTTCTTTAATATAAGCTCTCCAGACCCCAAATACAGTGTTATAGTTATTGTAAATCACTGTGTTCCTTCCTACACAGGATACACGTATAGGACTATATTCTAGGTACTTATTTTTTTAACTGAAGGAACAAACTAATGTTTTTGTCTCTAGCAGAACAATTCTTAAAAATGACCCCCAAAATACAGAGAATCAAATGCAGTATTAAACAGTAAAATAAGCCTGCTCCAACACAATGAATATTAATACCACAAAAAAAACACAGGTAAGGTAGCAAATTTTTTTGTAAAAATAATACAAGATAACATGGGACTTGTTCTTTAAATGAGAGCTGTTCACAGCAAATTCTATAATACTTTCGGAAAGAATCCACAAATTATTTCCATATTAATCAAATATTTATGGAAAGAAGGCAGGGCTCAACCATCTTCACAGTAGATTCTTTCATTGATAGTAAATTTATGAGGCTGGTTTGTATCTACAACAGCATACATGTACACTCTCATGGTAATCCATCATTTCTGAAGACATTCTCTTGTTATCACTCTGCATTCACTCTTTGAGTTACAGGCATTTACTTATCTCTTCCTCAGAACATCGGGAAACAAGCTAATACAAATCTCAGTATATCAGAAAGATGACAATAGATAACACAGGAAAAACTATTCCATAATCCAATAGAAGCAGATAATTTTCCATATACATCAAAGTCATTTCAGAAGCAATTTTCATATCTCTAGAGCAAATACCACTTAAAATTTCAAGTTATTCTATGGGGTGAACCAAAGAAGTCACTAGTCCAGGGAGTTTCAGAAAGTCTGCAGAATTACCTCCTAAGAAGTATAGAATCATCTAGCAAATGAGCTCACGCTCCTTCTGCATTCTTCTGCCATATTTTCAGAATTACACCACTTGAGAACACATTAAAATAATCAGATTTCTCTTGGCTTAGTCTGCTGGAGTTCTGCCCCAGCTGCCTTCAAGCCACACATATCTCTCCTTTGGGGCCTCATATTTTCTTCCTTGTGTTGGTCAGCCTAAATCAGGCCCCTCCCCTTCCTGCACCTGGAACGTGGCCATTTATGCAGCTGTATCAAATAAGGTCTAAAAAGAGTAATTTGTTTGCCCAGGGTCACAGAGCAAGTCAACAGTCAGAGCCTGAAGCGGGACTCAATTTTTCTGAAATTTGGGAGTATAAAAGAACTCCTTGGGCCACGCTGCCTTCCCAGGAATTGCTAACGATAAATTACTTCGGCAGCTGCAGATACACACCTCACCTCAGTTAGTCTGATTAACAGTGTCACCAGCTGAGGTTCACTACATGAACCACATTTATGAGACGGGGAGGTAAATTCTAGCTTATTTCTTCAGAAGAAAAAGGGGGAAAAAACCCACCAAATACCAAGTTTCCACAGACTTTGGAGAGCTCATTCTGAAAATCAGTCAGGTAGCGGCTTGTGTAAGGAGAGATGTGTAAGCAGGGCTGCTACCTAACCTGAGGCTCGTACAAGCACCGGCGTGTGCAATCACAGGGAACACTTCTAGCGAGGATTTCTCGTCAGGGTAGAGATTAAGACTTCATTTAAAATTCTCTTTACACTCCCTGGATTGGCACGTGAGGCCACACAGATCCCTCTAGGCATGCAGCATGGGGGAGGCTCCCTCCTCTTCTGAAAATGATTCTCCCTTGCTTTTCGTAAGATTTTCTGAACTAGCAAAGCCCATAACAATCCCAAACCAGTACGAAAATCGGTAGGAAGCATTTTGGTTTGTTTTTCTTTTATGCCTTCATGAAGTTTGGCTTTATTACTATTAATTGTAGAATTTTTCACAAAAAAAAAATACTATCTCATGGTCATGATCCTGCAGGTCCTTGGATAGAATTTAGCAGGTATCTCAACTTGTAGCGAAAATTATCTGTGGGGTAGGAGTAAGAACTAGATCTTGATGTAATCGTCTGTTGTGACTTACAGCAAACCTAAAGACCTTTGCACTTCATTGATCACAAAAACATGCAGGATCTAGAGAGGTGTGAATTTAGATGGTTCTTGATTAAAAACAATCCTGAACGCCCGGAGTGCCACTTACCTACAGCCTCCTTCTACCTCCTTGTTCTCACTGGTAAAAGCACAGTAACTTGGTAACTGTTCAATAGGGCTCGCTAATGCAAACTCAGTTCCCTACAGCTTCCAAAATGCTGCTTCTGTCCGTAACATCAAAGCAACCTACCTAATCTGTATCTGCCTCACTCCTGAAGGTTAGAATCATAGAAAGTTTTGGGTCGGAAGGGACCCCAGAGGTCATCTAGTCCAACCCCCCTGCAGCGAGCAGGGACACCACTAACTAGATCAGGTTGCTCAGAGCCCTGTCCAACCTGGTCTTGAATGTTTCCAGGGATGGGGCCTCCACTACCTCTCTGGGCAACCCATTCCAGTGTTTCACCACCCTCATTGTAAAGAATTTCTTCCTTATATCTAGCCTAAACCTACCCTGTTTTAGTTTAAAACCATTACCCCTGGTCCTGTCACTGCTGTCTCTACTAAAAAGATTGTCCCCATCTTTCCTATAGGCTCCCTTTAAGTACTGAAAGGCTGCAATCAGGTCTCCCCGCAGCCTTCACTTCTCCAGGCTGAACAAGCCCAACTCTTTCAGCCTGTCCTCATAGGAGAGGTGCTCCAGCCCTCAGTTGTCTGGAAAGCAGTCTCCTCCCAAACGGAGATGTCACAAAAGCTAAGCACACCCTAGTAAATCAAACTGGCTGCATTTCAAGAGATTAAACCCTCAGAATCAAACAGTTCCTCCTAGAAAGCCCCCAGGGATGTCAGAATGGCTCTGCTTGTAACACAGCATTCTCCTGGACAAGCCCTACCATGGTGTTTCAGCACTGCAAAGCCAGAAGAGCTGCTCCTTTGTGCAGGACCTACCATGAGCGCATCATTGCTAAGCAGAGATACCAACCACCGCTTTTCCCATCACACGGGTGGGCTGCCAGACTGCACGCAGTTCAAGTGCAATAACAACCCCTCACACACCTTTTGGTCAGTGCGCAGACGCTGGTGGATGATTTTAGGGGCACCTTGTCTTCAGTTTGTCATCTCGTTTCATAATAACCCAGCAGCGAGTCAATGCCTACACGTGACTGTGCTGTGCCAGGCGGAGGAAAACACCACTGCTTTCCAAACGCTCCTGCAAGCTGAGAAGCAGGCTCTAACACTGCAAGCACCATCACCTACCTTTAATGGATTTACAATACATTTTTATTTTTTAAAAAGCAAGATAATTGAGAAAAGCAACTATGATGAGCCTGCTTCACCTCCACACAACCCCTGGGTAAAACCAGACAAGCTGGAATAGCCATGGACTAATCTACCTTTCAGCAAACACCTATTCTGCTTCTATATGGTGGCAGAGACAGAGGGTGAGTCCATAAAATCTCTTCAGTTTAAACTCCTATACGTACCAGTAAGAATTCTGCCTGAATAACGACTAACAGCATCGAATGGAAAGATGGATGAGGGGCTTTGCTTTGGGCCAGGAAAGATAAATGCCCATTTCTCTTCTACTTTTCAGCAAGACCTGAAGTCTCTCTGTTCCAGAACAGAGGCTACAGATTTTCCGGAATGTAATTACATTTGATAATGAACACCTCTGCCAAATGATAAAAATCAAAACTGCAAGTGCCCAAGAGGACTGCATGCTCCTGAGCACTGCACTGGCCTCTACAAGGGGCTCCGCTGCACACAGACAGCATGACTTCATGGATGATGCCATCTGCGTGAGTTTATAGTGATAATATAAGCATTTTCCCCTAAAGCACTGAGATAGAGTAGGTGAAGAAATCTGCATTTTTATCAACAGCAGAGACAGGAGGATGGTAACTCCGTGGCAAAAGAATCACTGTTCCTACACTGCATAAGCTTTTCAGAGTTGCCTGCAAAAGTGGCCAGGTCTGTGTCCCCTCACAAAAGGAGGTGCTGACAAGCAGAAAGGCAGCTGCTTGTTTTTGGTGTCCTTCACGATGCACAGCCCCAGGCAGCACCCTCTACAGCCGCTGGACCCGTCAGCAGCAGCTCCCTACGGCGTGACAGTGCTGGAAGGCAGTGAGACAGGCAGCAAACCCAGAGGCTACAGCTGGAGGACAGCCAGGGCTCTCCCAGGAACAGCAGAAGTCCTCCAGCAGCTGGAGCAGGCCACTGGCCAAGCTGGAGAGACCATGGGAAGAAAAAGCTTCTACAGGGACTCATGGAAGTTGTTCTGTCTGAAAGGTCATTAAACGTGTTTGGGATGGGAAGGAAAAACTGGAAGGAAGGGCACAAGCCCTGCAAGGACAGTGTCCTCTGGAGAGAAACTTTTCTGCAAGTCATTCCATAATTGTGAGGTTTCCTACTTAACAAGTTGTCTCAGTCTATTTTGTTGCTTTTGTGAGCTAGCAAGGTGATCTTGGGACTGAAAACACTTAGCTTCTCTCAGAGGACTTTCTTTGAAAGGAGAGGGGTATTTCCATGTCACTGCTACAGCTGACGTGGGCTCCCGTAACTGGGGGTGTCAAGACGAAGAGGATGACTACCTACCACGAGATATCTGAAAATGCTCCTTTCTGTTGGGAGGCAAAAGGACAACTGAAGAAAGAATCTGACTGCTGCTTAATACAGACAACTGATTTCAAAAGCTAGGATGGATAACTCCCTGTAAAACTCTACTAGTTAGCAGGAAGGTTAAGAAGTAATCCTTCTATGTTATTCAAAATTTAGCATAGGCCTGTATAGAAAACCCCAAGTATTAAACTCTTCTAAGGCAATTTTTTAAAAAGGTCTTTCACCCATATAATTCCTGTATCAGTATATGCACACTACTGCACAGAACAGAACTTACCTCCAACACCTCAGTATTCTGGACTTGGCAGTAAAAAACTTGGAGAAATCATGAAGGATTACTCGTAATTGTTTCACATGGATAAAAAAAGGAAAAAAGAAAAGAATCGGCCCATGACTTGACTCAGGCTGTGTGATAGAGGGAGGCAATGATAAGATCTGCAATGACGTCAGACAAGCAAAGGACTGACTAATTAAAAAAACAAAAACCTGGAGGGATGCTTTTTTACAACATTAGATACAACATATTTTCTATAGTTGCCATTTCAAGTAAATGACTCAGCTGTTTTAATTAGTCTCTCCAAATACCAAGGGGAAAAAAAATGAGGTCACATCATAGGCTCATCCCTTCTCTTCTTTTCTGGTTGGAAAAAAACCCCCAAACTTTTAAAATTCCAAATTGTGAAGAAAGTGTTAAAAATTTCATTTTCCCCTGACATTTTAAACAAGCTACCTTTGCTGCTTCTAGGATGTCTATTACAGTGCTGTCCTCTGCTAGCCCGTCTTTCAAAGAGATGAACCACTGACAACTCTTGCTGTCTCTTTAGGAGATACAGCTACTCAGCACCTGACAAAATTAGATCTTGACTGCAGTCAATTTAATATCAGAGAAAAGCATTCACTGCTAGCCTTGACGGTCCCAAACACCTACTTATCCATCTCACAGGTGTGTTACACAGAGTGGCAGCAGCAACGCATGCAGATGGAATTTGACATAACCTATAGATAGAGGGAAAAGCAGAATTCACTCACCCTGTCCCGCTCAATTTGAGATTACAAAAGTTTCAATGATAAAACACATTTTATACCATAAGCACTTCCATCTAATTAGGCAAAAAAAAGCTTCACTAAAGATGTTTAAGAAAGAAAAAAGAGTTTCAGTACGTACTTGCATTTCTGAGCTGTTCCCTGGTCAAACTAGCTGGCTGAGTGTCAAAAGAAGGAGTGACATTCCCATAGTGTCTAAGTTAAAAATTTATTTCATATGACAAAGGTTACAAATCCACCATGCAATCAATCTGGGTCTAAGGAGGCTGAAGTATGACTTTGTGCTGCTTTACCCACACAACTCTTCCAGCTACAGAGGTCTGCGTCGTTTACAAGCATTAACTGCGACTACTTTTACTGAACCTGTGTGAATAATAAACGGAGGACACAGACAATTCCCATTCTCTAACCAAAAGACCATGCTTTCTTTCATACTGATTTCACATAGACAATGTTATTTCATCCTACAAGTAAGCTAAGTGATTTGATTTGACTCTCCTACTCACAAAGGAAAAGGTATTTCTGAAGAACAAATAAACATGTGCCTTTCTGACTGTCTGACGTAGTTATTAGAACAGACTTTATAAATTATTCTCAGGAGATTTAGAGTCAGCAGGAAAATAGGGGCAGTGTGAGAGACATTTCAGACAACTGATTTCTATCGAGCTTTTGCAATGAGCTCTCTCGCTGTCATTCCCAGCTCCTCAACACTGTGCCCATAGGAATAGGCCCTTTTAAGAACCTAGAGCTCTCCAAGGGGGATATATCCATTGCAAGCAAGTTGAACTTACTGAATCCATTAACATCTTGGCAGCTGGAAGAAAAAGCTTCTTCATTGTGAACAGCACTGAGTTTGGCAGAGGTCTTGTCGGAAGCAGCCACGGGACCCATCTCCCTCTGTGTGCTGGTCTGAGTCTCCTTCTGCTTCTTGGCTAGCTTCCTTTAGGGTATTTTGAAGAAGGGAGAAATCAAGGTCAGTTTTCTCTCTTTAAAAACAAAACAACTAGAAAATATTTTGAAAACCACCACTATCCCCCTTGGTCAGACATGCAGGGCATGTGGCAAACCGCACAAGAGCAAACCCCACAATTTTTTAATAGAACTGTTGTGCAGCATGATAAATATAGCGATACCAGTCTTTGAACTTAGCCATCCCTCCCAGCAACTCATCTTGCACCAACCTGCATCACCCCAGCAGTAGGAGTGCCATGCCGTCCTTGAGGAGGGTGGCATTGGCAGAGCCCCTGACGCTGGCATCAGCCACTCTGGGAAGAGCACAGGGCATGGGATGAGGGCAGAACCTCAGAATCCCTCGCTAGGAGGCAAATGGGACATCTGCGTCCACCCCACGTGGACACCTACGCCCAGGATTTACTGCAAGTGCTCTGGTGGAGAGTGTGACCTGACTCTGGGCAACCTGAGAGCTGGAGCAGGAGTTCTGCCCTGTCCCCAGGCAGAGCAACGAGGGCAGCAGCCTCTACTGGATTCTGGCATGCACCCAGACTGCACTGAGGATCGACAGCCAGAAAAGGGTGGGGCAAACTACAGGTTGAAGTTATTTTGGAAATGTCCAAATACGCCTCTGTTCTGGGCAAATGGGTTTCTTCTTACTTTGAGGAGATGTCAAAAACATTGGCAAAAGCAGAAACACTGCCTGCTCTGAAAGCACTAACAAAGCCGAGAACGTAAGAGCTCCTCTGTTGCAAACACAGCTAATAATAAGAAAATGGAGAGAAACAGGAAAAGTGAACTGCTAAGCTTCCATTGACATTTGACTGCCCCGTGCTTCATTCATATCAGAGAGTAAAACTCTTTAAAAATGAATGTGTGACATTCTACAATCCACACCTTGAAAAAATATCACACAAATCCCTAGCACCGGCAAAGAACTTTGCTTACACGACTTCCGTAGTTAAGAAAATAAAATAAAAGCGAGAAAAACAGATTACTGAAAGAAGGAGCTTTAGTTTTCTTTTTTCCTCCAACTCAAAGAAAAAAATCATCCTAACAACTAAATCATTTTGCAAAGAGGTTTTCAGTCACTAAAATGACATGCTCATGGTAAGGACTACCCATCTTATAAATTTCACTAGATTCTTAAAAGGATTTTTCTTGCAAGATATTCTAACATGCTTTACTTATTCACAGCACGTCAGAGTGACATTTACAAGCCAGTTCAAGCACCCAGCTGAGCCCCAGCCCTTCACGAGATGGGTCGCCAGGCCAGTTACACTCATTTGCAAGGAAGGGTCAAAGAGAACTTCAACCTTTGCCTGTGTCTGTGGGAAATAACTATTTCCAAGCAAGCTGATAATCCAGACCAGGAGAGCTTAGATTTATGTTGAAATGTCCAATGTTTGCGGGAAACTTTTGAACAAATGCATCTGTTTCATCTGCTCAGCCAGTGGAGGTTCCACCTTTTACAGTTCGCGGTTTCAGTGCCAACCCATAGCTAATCAAATGGGGTACGTAATTACAGAGTGCACTTTCAGATCTCACAAAATCTCCATGGTGCATCCATTTCTGCAGCTGAAGATGCAAAAATGGGAACCGTCCTTGAGTGATGAAGAAAAAAGCTGGTGGTTAATGACGCTAAAAGCTTTGCTTCCAGTGCTCAGCAACGATAACAGAGTCAGATTTAGTAACTACGAGCTACAGTCGTGGGAGCCCTCTTTTTTTGTGCTGTGGTACCTGAGGTAACAACAATAGTCTCGAAGTGTATTAACCCTGCTATGCGGTTATTTTAATCCTTTCGATTTGCTAATCATACATGCCTATGCAAATTCTCTGGCAACAGGAATTAAAATTTCTCGGTAGGAAACACTAATCCAAAATGCAGAAGTCCTTAATAACAAGCACTCTGGACTGCTGGGGTGAGCCATAACAGATGACCACCGCTGATGGTTAAAAATGGTGAGTCAAAAAGGGTGACTTCCTTATTAAATCCAGATCAAATTATTTGTGGCAATCATTTTCTGTAAGTCCCATTGCCTGGTATCTTTTCCGAAATGCCAACAAGTTACAAAGAGCTGGAATTGGCAAACTCGTTTTCTCTTTCTGTGAACGAGCAATAACATTTCTGCATGTGCTAGGCAGGAAAAAATAACCCCAAACCCAAGCCCATCAGTCCCCAAAGGCCTGCTTACAAAAGCCCTATGCAAAGCAGCTCTACCTGGTCCTGTAGAAGACAGAGAGGCCCCTAAAACATTGGCTTGAATGCCTAAAAAGAAAAGGTGACATGAGTTTAAAGTTCTCAATCTAACTCGCACACACAAACCAGGCTGCTCGCAGGTGGACCAGCTAACGCTTACGCAAGTTCAGAGAGAAGCCACACAGAAAATTGTTTCACAATGGAAAACGCTACCATTTTCTTTCAACAGCGTGTTATCAGTTTCCACCTTTCTCCCTCTCTATTCCAAGAATGTAAAAATTCTTCATCTAAATTTAGAGGGAAAAGGAAGACAGATCTCTTTTGAGGATTTCACAGCTAAGCTTGCCAGACACATCAAGGGGCTCTCGGTTTCCAAATGTGCCTTTTCTGCCTTCGTTATGTGTCTGGAGAGAGTGGCAGCACAGGACTAAGCCTATTTGGTCCTTACCATCATTATAATTCATAGCAAGGATTATAAAATCAAATGACTATCACTTTCTAGAATGTTAGGGATGTGACATAACACACAGCTAGGTAGAGGTTTATTTCCCAGCATGTCAAAATACCTTTGGAATTGGAAGAGCATTTATCTGGAAACGCTGCTTCCAAAAATAGGGCACTTCCAGAGATCTCTGCGCATCACTGAGAAGCTGCATCAGTGACACGGCTCCTGCTCCCCTCGCTGACCGGCCTCCCCGAAGCATGGCGGCTGCAGCACCCAGGTGAAAATGCCACCGGTGCATTCGTGTCACTTGGGGGCCGGCTGCGGGCTGCTGCCAGCGTGTACCCAGCACCGTCTGTCACCAGGCTCCGAGAAGACACTTTCCACCTCATGCATTATGCAGTTGAACAGGGGAAGGATTAAAGGACCGGGCAGATATTGGGAAGAAGAGTATGATACAATCAACACAGGGTGAAGAGGCTGAAATATCCAATGTGAATAAGGTGATATTAATGGCCATTTTATGTCTAAGGGTAAGGAAAATGTGCCAAGAAGAAAAAAGGAGTCCATGGATGGGGGTTACTAGGTTGCCCTTTTCGGTTCAAGAGGGTTTGTAAATGAAAACATGATGTTTAGTGGCACTATGCACACACAGGAGGGACAAGACAGAAAGATGCTCAAAGCAGAATAAAAAAATGAAAATGAGCTGTATAATCAGGCAGTTGAAGCTAACCCAACTAAAGCAAGCATAAGAACTACTGGCAGTAAACCTAAACTACGTGTGGATTTTGGGTAAAAAAAAAAAATCGAGATTTGATTCAGCTATTTTTGAAACTTCCACTCCTATCAGAGAACACCTAGAAAATGCCAAAGCACTATACCAAAACTGTGGGAGTTCCAGTTTAACAGTCGAGGAACGCAAAGTTCGTATCAGTACAAAGCATTTACTGCCATGGGCGTTAATCAGAAAGCTCAGGCAACATTTTCAGTTCGAAGTATCTGCAGGATCAGATTCCTGTTTTGCACAAGTCTGGATAAACTTCAGGGATTGTATTTTAAATGCAGCTTCAAACTCATCTCCAACTTTTCATACCAATTTTACATGCATGAATGTTAAATCTGTAACTGCCACTCCTAAAGAGCTCTTGTACCTGTACGTTGACAGATTTAATTTTAGATGTTTCACAAGGATGGATTATATACACTATAACTTAGATTTGCATGCACAGGTAATTTAAACATTAGGTATAGATTGCAGAAGTTAAACATGAAACTTCCTCCTACAGATAAGAATTGCATATTGCGCTCATTTTCAATAAGCAATTTAAGAAAGCTAGAAAATACAATTCCTTTTAGACACTTGTGCGCAGCAGCCTACTAGGAGCACACATACTATTTATGATGAAACCCGCACAAATTTAAGGCAGGCAGCGATCAGCTGTGCAAATACCCACTGGGAGCACTGGTTAAACAGCAGTTCTGCTGAAAAAGATCTCTGTCCCCTAAAGCTGCAGTAGATCACAAACTCAATCTGAAAGCACAGTTTCATGCTCCTGTAAAAATAAGGGAGGGGATTACACATGGCACTGTGGTCTGCAAGCCGCGGGTAATTCTTTTGCTCCGACTGAGGATTGGTAAGGCCTCTGCTGCAATATTGCACTCCAAATAAGATGTGCGCCAAAGGGCACAGACAAAGGCAGAACAAGAAAGGCAAATCTGGAAAACATGACCTACAAGCAAAGGCCAAAGGAAATAGAGATCTTTAATCTAGAGAATAGAAAATCCAGTAGGGTTGATAGGTCTTCAAACCTAAGCTAAGCTCTGGGAAGGACAGCTCGCTTGAAACTTCAGCCAAACTGCATGCAGTGAAGAGCACCCATCTCTCACTCCGACTGGGCAAGTGGGCTGTGAACTCTGGGCCCTAGAGGTCTTTACACAGAGAACAAGTGGAAGGCGAGCTCAAAGCAGCGCAGCCCGGCAGGCGGGGATCTCCTCCCCAGGCTCCGATGGTCCCGCTCAGAACTCCGGCTCATCCCATGCTCCCTGTGCGCAGAGCGTAACCTCACCGGCGCTGAGAAAGATCCCCTGGCCGAAGCACACAGGCAGCTCACTGCTCCTTATAGTCACTCTAAGGGCAAACCCTCCACTCACAGGCAAGTGTAGGAACAGCTTGACTTCTACTTTTTAACGCCTGCCATGGTGAAGCCAAACTCCTTGCGGGTTATTGCAGGAGCAGAGGGAATTCACCGGAGTGAAGAGCGAGGACCAGCTGCCTCACTTTTACTTACAAAGCAATCATCACTTGACACAAAAGAGCAATAGAACGCAGACAGCAGTCAAAAGCTGCTCTGAAGCTGTGTGTATACAAACACAGGGCCTGGAAAAATGTAGAGCTGCACTCTAAGCTTTACTCGATCCAATTAATCACTATTTGCGGAGGACATTTACTTACAACTATATAAAGTTTAGACAAGACAGGTGCATAGAGCAGCCATGCCGTGTAGGTATATACTGATATAAAAAGCCAACAAGCACCGCCCTCTGCAAAGTTTAGGCTTGCAATCACCACACAAACACGTTCTAAATAAAATCTCACATCGGGATTATTTTTTCTTAATTTGATTTTTTTTTTTTGGACTGGCATAATCACCGATTCATGATTCTGCTCTTCCAACATCTAATGGCAAAACCAGTTTCTTCTTAAAATTCTGATTTAGCAAGCTGACCTGTGCAGGCAGATCCCACCATCCATGGAAATACATGGAGATATTTATGCATGTATGTGTCTATACAGAGGTATGCCTATAAATAAAATAATGTTTTATTTATTTTCAAATGTTCCACAGATGGTGGGAATAAATTCAGCGCAAACTCTGTTATTTCAGAAAATGTAAGTATGAATCTAGCTTAATACCTGTGACAGCATCTGTCTCATGAAAAGAAACTCCTGGCTGAAACTGCCACAAAATTAAAATTGCAGTGAAATTACGATGGGAGTTGAAGGAGCTTCCTACATTGTAATCATGTCCTCAGTACTCTGGCCAGTTCAGGGGAAAAGGATAGCAACATACTGGCCACTGAGTGCCCTTTTCTTATACATAACATTAAACTGAGTGCTTGTAACACATACATGAATCTATGTATTTCCAGAAATACTTCTCTGTTTTGATATCACTCTTGGTTAAATCTCATTCTGTAACCATTAGACAGACCAGGAGAAAGAAACAAAACAAAACAACCCCAACTCGCACACAGAAAACATTTCCATTCTTTCTCCTTGTGAGGAAATAATAAAGCCTTGATACGGGTTGCTGCCGTTGAAAACACTGCTGCAAAAGAGGTGTCTGCCACTAAATGCAAAACCTCCTTTACACCAGGTGAATTGCTGTCTGTGTTTTACAGCTTCGGCTAAGAAGTGAAACAAAAACTTTCAGACGTTGATGGGTTGCTATCTTACGTTGCACGTATCTTACAATGCACTGAAGTGCGGCGTGTCAGAGCTAGCAATTCTGTACAAACCTTCGACACCATTTGTACCGGTGTAAATACAGAGTAACTCCTCTGCAAAGGTTCATGCATCGCCCTGGTGACAGCCAGGCAATGAGGGCACCAGCACAGGAGCTCCTAATTCTGCATCCCTCTGCTCCCACCACAAAAGCAAGCTCTGTCCAAGGATCTCAAATTGTAAGGAACTAACTTTTAACGGTGGGTAAATTGAAGTACACAAAATTATTTCAATTCTGCACAATGACTTAGCAAGTCAGGAACAGGGGCCTCCTCGGTTTGTATTTCCACTTAAAGTGGCTTAAAGGTCTTTATGGCCTTCTCTTTCAGCCACAATAATATCCCTTCCTATACATTGCAGGACGTTTTTAATGAAGTGTTACTATACAAAAATCCCACAACTATTTACCCAGCATGCACAAAATAGCTAAAAGCTGCTCTTATAAATGAATATTTTTGACTGGTTCTACCGAAGCTGCAGGTACTCAATCATCCTACAGAATCAGATTGTACAGCCCTGGAGAGCAGCAGAACACAAGACAGGCTGAAGGCAGAACTCCAGGCTAGAGACTACCACAGCGCTTATGGCCCATCCCTGCAAAAATCAGTTACTCATGATATAAGTCTCTGTTACTTTAACTTACTTAGCATTAAGAACTGTTTAGAAGAGTTAGGGTTAGAGATTTTGGTCCCTGACAAGAAGAAATGCCAGTATAGCAGATGACAAAAGGCTGAGACGAATCATCTGAAAGCAGACAAGAATTACTCAAAGAAGCACAACTTTGAAGTCCAGAAACTGAAACTATAAATAAAGCGATGTAGTCCATATGGTCGTATTTAAAGGTCTGCCAGCAGATCTGTTTGAGAACCTGCTTTTCAATACTGGTAACTCATTCAATTGAATTTTCCTTCAGGACTAAAACACGCATACGAAGTCCTAGCATGGAAACCAATTCTATTTCAAAAACTCTATTTATATACATATTGTTTCTCTTATTTTCACAACATTTCAAATAAACTTAAATCAAACCTCTCTGCTCATAAGAGGCTGCCGTGATTTCTATCAGCTTTGGCTAAGAATTACACAGTTCTTAGCCATTTAAGATTTTCATCTGCAATCATAATGAAACAGCCTATTTCATGTGCAGCTTGAAACATCAGACTCAATAAATCTTCATCATATGCTCCTTCATGGATTGTCCTGCTTTCTTCTCTCACTATAGAAGATCCCTCATACCCTGACCATTATTCAGGGGGGGGAAAAAACTCCTCAGAACTTCAGAACTTGGTTTTGCCAGATCAGGCAAGAGGCCAAATGCCAATCTGAAACTAAATGCTGACAAGCACAGCCTGACGATAGAAGTATTTCTTGCGTGGTGACTATTTATGTGTTAACTCTACCATAGTGATGCTCCAGCTGGCAGAGCTCACGCTTTCTGGGGTACCTGGGACACCACAAGTGCAGAGCTAAGAATGAGCCCTCTGCAGAAAATGCTGGGTGCAGTACTAGGAAGATATAGTTACCTGATTTCTGCATCCTGAGCTCAAATCTCCATCGAGCGCTTCAGTGGGGTGCTATGAACACATAAGCTTGCCTGATGATATCTCTGGCTTTTCTCTATTCTGATAAACTGCATGGTGTACGTCTGCCTTATTAAACCTTATTAAAGCACTTGCTTCTGCTTCCGCTGAAGCTCATTGCGACCTCAGGCTTGGGTGACCTCCAGAGGTTGTCTCTTCACTTTCCTGTCACTCTCCAGTTCCCAGAGAAGAAAGTTCTGGTATATTGATCCACAGAAGCCATTACAAGACAGCAAAGAGAGCGCTTAATGATACCCTTACTTCCTCCGTAGTGGACTAATCCTCAGCTGACTGCCTAAAGCAATGTTGTTGTACAGCTGTAGAAAGGGGTCATGCAGGGCTCAGAAGTTCATTCATCTTCTTAAACGCACAAATCTCACAATAATATAAAGCAGTGAACATTCTGACCATTTACTGCCTGCTGGAAGAAGACAAAGCAGTAATGGAAAACTGGGGACTGAATATTTCAGGCAGTGGCGTTGACTGGTTGTAAGGAAACCAAAACAGCAGAACGATGCAGAGGACACTTCTCTGCAGCTCATGAGAAATGTGCAGGAGAGGAAAGGCTGTAGCAAGAAACGCAACCAGCTAGTAGCACCTGTGTGTTAGATCTGTCCCCTACTTTAACAGTCAGTTAAACTTCTCTTCAAATCTGACTACTGAAGATCATATTCCGTTCTTGGTGGACCAGTGTGAAGTCTAGAGGAAATGGAGTTACTCTGCATTTACAATTTTGTAACTGGGCAAAGTAAAGGCTCGTTATGGTGTCTTTAGGCTCCTCACATACTTGGCAAGTCGGGAAGGTTCCTCTTTCAAATATTTTCTGATAGGGATCCTCATACATCACTCCTTTGACCTGTTCTTTGGATGCAAATAAATTCCTATGGAGAAGCAGTCAACTCCCACTAAAAGGGCAGAGTATAAACGCACTCATTTTGCTGACCTGTTGAACGCCTTCCAGAGGTGTCCACTGGACAAAGTCACAAGACCAAGACAAAGCTGACCTGGAGGAACTGGCAAAGGAGGAGGCTGCCAGGGTGGTCGGCAGAGCAGACACGGCCCTTTGACAGCATGGTTGGTGTCAGAGCCCTGGGAAGTCTGGCAGGTTGCTGCTTTTGGGAGAAAGGTTTAGGCCAGTGATGCGGCTGCTGCTTCGGAGAGACAGCAAGAGGAGGCCTGTTCCTCTCAGCAGTAACAGCTGCTTTCTCCACCCCTCCCAACCCTCTGGTGGCAAAGGCATCCAGCTCAATTCTCCAGGACTCCTTCCTCAGATCATTGATCCTCTCCTCCTGCTGATCCACAGACAACTATTATCACGGCAGAAACAGCTTGGCCCTGATTACTTCCCAGCCCCTCAACCTTTAGACAACAGATGGCTCAGGAGCTACTGATGTGTGAAGCATTTTCATGCGCCTTAACAACTGCCTTAATTATGCAGCATTGTCATTAGGACTGGACAGGTGATTTAGATCTGAAAATCTGGACCACTTCATCATCCAACAGTCTCAACTGTCCTGCGGAACTTGGCAGCTCCAGGAACAGGGATGTTTGCTGAAATAATATCAAGTCCTAGTTGTCAGAAACCTTACATTTAAGAAAAAAAAAAAAACCAAAACCCAACTTATATCCATGGCTCAGAAATTCCCAACAATGATGTTCAGGTGTCACTTTGTTTGCAGTCTGGCTAAATATGATGGACAACTAAAAAAGGTGCAGTTGGGGCACTCTGTATTCATCCATTGGCATTTGAAGAACTATAAACCATAACTGAGATATCTGTGGACATTTACATCTTTGCAGGCACAGTTACAGGTGCAATGGTGAACCAGGGCAAGCGTAACAGTATGACAGTGAGAGAATGAAACACAAAATGCTGGAAAGATGAGGATAAATGGAATGGTTAAAAAAAAGAAAGTGGTAAAAGAAAACAATACAACAAAGCACAAAAATACCACAGAGTGAGCACGCTCAAGAAACGCCATCCCCAGCTATGTACTTACAAGTAATAGGAGTAGGAATATGCATTTCTTCTAAATATCGACGGCCAGTCAGATGAACAAAATATCCCAAACGAGAAAAAAAAGAAAAACGCATAATTAGGTTTATATGAGCTCTAGGATTTTTTTTTCAATATACAAAGCATTTGTGCTGCCTCTTGTACTGAGTTACTCTTCTCCCACACTTTTTTCAGGAGCTTTACATTGGTGTGGAGCGGACACTGCACTGGAGCCAGGAAACATACATTGTGTTTCCACTTCTGCTGCTGAGTTATGTCACCACGAATAAATCCCCTTGCCTCTTTCTACCTTAAATGTACCACATCAGTAACACAGGTAACGAGACTTCTCTTTGTCTGCAAAGTGCTTCGATATTTTTGAAATAACAAGATATATGTAAGAGTTATTAATATAAATAAGAACGAATAGAAAAGTCACACTTAAGAACACCATAATTTTGGACTATTTAGACAATGAGCAAATTGTATCATGCTAAATCAAACTTCATCAAACTCTAAAATGCAAATAGTTCATTAACAATTCAAGCATCACTACATATTTATAGATGATCACTGGGGTACGCATTAGCTTTCTGCGTCACTGTGATTAAGCATTTTCTATCACTGTTTTTCAACAATACACTTCAGAACATTTTGAAATGTTTTCGAGCAGCGCCACAAAATGAGCCTTGGCAATCACTTCTAGCTTAAGAAGTGATATCTTCCCTTTTATAGCTGGAAAAACACTTCTCTGCAAAGGCTGTTTCACAACAGATCTAGCACGTTAGTGCAGATTAAGAGCAAGGCACAATGGAGCCTCCAAGGCAGCAGCCATGGTCAAGACAGGGAAAAACACCAGAACACAAACTTCAACCTATTGCACAGCTTTAAAATCCCATCCCTGAAGACACTGCAGGTACTAAGCAGCGCTTACAAGTACAAATGCAGGGTTCAAGTCTTCACTTTTATGGTTGCTTTGACCACAACTTCCATAAGCACACATGGAATGCGGATCCAGCGCAGTCGCTCTCTGTGCACAACCACCCCTTTGCTACGCACACCCTGGATAACGGCCAGTGACTTACAGATCGTAGAATCATAGGATGGTGAGGGTTGGAAGGGACCTTAAAGAGCATCTGGTTCCACCCCCCCTGTCATGAGCAGGGACACCTTCCACCAGACCAGGGTGCTCAGAGCTCCCCCTTGACCCCTGCCGGGGGGGGGGCAGCCACAGCTTCTCTGGGCAGCCTGGGCCAGGGCCTCACCACCCTCATGGTGAAGAATTTCTTCCTAATATCTAATCTAAATCTGCCCTCTTTTAGTTTACAGCCATTCCCCCTTGTCCTGTCGCTACACACCCTTGTGAAAAGTCTCTCTCCATCCTTCCTGTCGGCCCCTCCAGGTACTGGACAGCTGCTATAAGGTCACTCCGACATTCAAGAGGATTACCCTGAAATGACACGTTTTGTCTGGTGGTGGCCCTTGCCGTAAACCTGAAATTCTGGTCAGATTCCCGATACATCTCAAGTTATTTGAATGACACCAAGTCCGAGGTATCCCTAAAAGTATTTATAACATAACGCTATAATCTCCTGAAACTCAGACATTCTGCACTCCATAGCAATGCACCAGTTACGGTGCAGCGATTGCCACTGAGCTTCACAGTGAAATTTGGAATTCCTCTAATCACAGGGGAAAAATGACCAGGACGTAGAAAATGAGAGCCCGCACAGCCGAACCCCCTACCATCTCAAAAATTATTCCATTAATGAAACCCCTCTGACACACCAGTGCCAGGCTTTGCACCACACCATCAACTGTAATTGTTCTGTTGAACATCTTGCTGCACTTTCTGCTTTTCTCATGTCTGAGCCAGTGGATGTATGCGATCACACGAGACTCTTAGTTCTCATTGAAAAGCTGTGTATCCCTCAAGGCTACAGGGGGAAGCTCAGAAAGATTTATTCCATAAGGACAGAAAATAGAGGAAGACAAACAAAGGAGGACTGTATTTTGGAATTGGACAGGCCATTTTGGCTCCAATTCTCCCAAAATACGTAACCTAAAATAAGGACTTCCCAAGCAATATTTCAAAACTAACTGTTAAAATTGGTCAGTGCTACAGACCGCTAAAAGCATGACCTGATCCCAGAACGTATCACACAACCTGAAAACCCTGCCTGTCATCCACCTTATGCACGGGCACAGAAGCGACGCGGGTCACTCAGTGTGCAAACATCCCTCTGGCAATTCTATCCTAGAGCTTGGGCGTGTTCTGCTCCAGATGCATTTGGGTTTTATTTAACTAGCTTAAAGTAACAACCTAAATCCTAATCCAGAATAAGGAGCTGAATTTTCATAGGAGCAGTTAATCCTAGACCCTACATAGCCCCAAATCTCCTTTCTTGCTACCAACAGCAGTTTAACAAACTTCTTTGCAGTGCCCCCGTGACAGACTGTCTGATCCTGTTTATTCGGTCTCACGCTTACAGGGGTCAGTGGGGGCTTCGTGTGCTCAAACGCAGCAGCCTGGAAAGTGTCACATTTTTCACTCCAGGGAAATGCAAGTCAGGATCACACCGAAGTTAAAACTGTCCGGATGAAATCAGAACTGACCCAAATCTAATCCTTTTGGGGGTCAAAGTCAAAAGGCATTTTCTCCAGAAAAGAAGTTTACAAATGTCTTCTTTTTCTTGCTTCAGCCTGTTTCTACTAACTGGTCCTGTATTTTCTATTACATAAAAATATTTAACTAATGTTAAGGACAAACAAACAAGCTCCTTAGAGAATTAGCAACGGCTTGATATGATAAAAATGAGATATTTCAAGTTAAGTATCTATTAATGAAAAGTCCTAGTGCTACAAATACACCCAAGTGTGCACTGATGATGAATGGTAAATTAACAGGCTAAAAAATATTGCAGTAATTGATGCGTCCATATACATATGATGATATTTGTGCTGCAAACATATAACTCCTGTAGCTAGTGAGTTCCCGAAACCAAGAAAACAAATGTTGTTAATGGTTTTGATTTTAGATACTGTAAGACAGACATATTTAAAACAGAAATGTATATGTACACACACAATTTTTACAAAGATATACAGAAACTTTAGCAGACTTTAGGCGACCCCAGGGTTCAACTAAAACTTTTAGATAACAAATGTAAAGTCAGATGCAAACGTTCCATGGCACAAACATTCTTTCTGGCTTAATTTAGCTTCACGTACCTGACTAAGCCCTACGCAACATTGGCAGCCCCCAGAAATGTGCCAGGCACTTCAGCTTTTACAAAACTGTCTATTGAAACTACGAGCACCTGGGCAACACTTGCTCAGGATTTATATACAAAAGGTTCAAAGAAGTACACTGATTTGAAGCATTTCACAGAAAAAAAAAGCAGTTTCTGATAATCTGTCTAATCCTAATCTCAAACCAGGGGCTGCCTTCTCTTAGTGTTTCTTT